CAGTTGATCTTAACCAAAAAGCAGAACTATGAGATGTTTAAGATGGCAACCATGGCAATGATCTTTATCAGTGCTCTTCCCAAATGAATTGTACTACAGGTGTAACAGAGGTCATTAATTATCTCAGTGCCCCTGCTAGGATTTGAACACTGAACCTCTGATTTACTAGTCTGAAGCTCATTTGATCAGGCTGAAGATAAGTTGTCTCTAGCTAAGCGGTATATTTCGACTTGTAATTTATGTTACATACTCCCTTTCCACAAAATAACTCGTCCTCGAATTTCTCTGTGTCATGACGATGTTATGGGGTATTATTTTGAAGTCCCTACATGGGTGCCAACGTAACAGTGGTCATTATTGATTTCAGTGTTTCTGTCAGAATTCAAACCCAGGACCTCTAGTTTACTACTCTGATTTTCAACCAATTGAGATAAACAGAAGTTCTCTTTAGGTGAGCAGTATATTTCAGTTAGAATTTTACTAGGGTTTCACAGGTTGTTACAGGTATATTGCTTCAAAATGATATTTTTGCTGTTATTAACAATTGTCATTATAACTTCTTCTACTAAATGGATTATTAGGTCAAAGGAAATGGGATCAGTATGAGATTCATGATGGTCTTTCAAAATATATCATCACATTTTCTTCTAAATGGAAAGTTCTTGAAGCAGAAATAAAAGCTTTATATTAACCAAGAAGTTATTTTCTTTATTGTTGTGTAGGTGTTATCAACATCTTTTGATCTTCTGGAGGCCGTCCTCAGGACATCTTTAACAACTTCCATATGTCCTGAATTGAAATTTTGCAGAATGGGAACATTTGTTATGTAAACATTGTAACGTCATGATTATCCTAAGACTATAATCAGGCAGTGTAATTTTATTAACTGATTTGCTTATGTTCAATCACATATAAAAGAAAGTTAATGTCATTGCATACAAATGTTAGGAACATTGTTAGCTCAACTGGTCTAAAAGGCCAAGTGAGCTTATGCCATGGTATTTTCAATTTTTTCCTCTGAACAACTTCTTCTCAATAACCAATGTTTCGATATTTGGCTGGTATGTTCCTAGGATGAAGCCCGACAAAATCTGTGAAAAGAAATGACCTTGGCATGTATTAATGGAAATAGGGGTCAAATTTCTTGAAAAATTATCTCATAAACTAAAAGGCATAGAAGCATAATATTTGCTTGGTATGTTTCTATGATGAAGCTTGAAAAAGTTTGTGAAAATAAATGACCTTGAGTGATTTTCAAGATCAAAGGGGTCAAAATTGTTCAAAACTTTTAAAAACTTTTTCTTATGAACTAAAAGGCCTAGAGGCATGATATTTGGCTGGTATGGACCAAGGATGAAACCCAACAAAGCCTGCAAAAAGAAATGGCATTGACCTATATTGAAGGTCACAGGGATCAAATTTGTTATAACATTTAAACAATTTCTCCTAATGAACTAAAAGGCTTATAGGCTTGATATTTGGCTAGTATGTTTTTAGGATGAAACCTGACAAAGTTTTGGAAAACAAATGACTTTGACTTATACTCAAAGTCACAGCGGTCATAGTTGATTGGTATATTACTAGGCTGAAACTTGGCAAATTTTGTGAAGGGAAATGACCTTAACCTAGATTCAAGGTCTTAGGGTCAAATTTTTAATCTGTTTTTGCAGCTATGGTAGCCATGGTAACCATTCAGAATATGTGTAATTTATGCAAATGTGAAAATTTTGTCAATTTTGGCCTTTTTTACTTAATATATACCATATGAGCACTGCAGGCCAATTGGGCCTCGTCGTTTTAACACTTTAGCTATTGTAGATAAAATTGAAATTGAAAGTAAATCTAGTGATCTAGTATCTTACAAATACTGCTCACAACAGTTATGTAGGGTGTGAAAACTTAAGTAAGCATTCATTGCATTATCAAACTGTTGATCTAATTAAGAGAAAAGCTTGAAGCAGAATTAGTACTGGTGTGTTGTGTTTGGTCTGCAAATGATCTTTACAGAAAGATTTACCTTTTCAACATTCAAGATGGCTGCTATTATTGCCATATTGAAAATTTTGTTATCTCTACCTCTTCTGAGCAGTAGGACTGTCATTAATGAATAGTGTTTGATTTGTCTTGTGTAATATTTAGACCCCTTAAACAATCAAAACTACTGCCATATGAAAAAATGTCTAATATCTGCTTGTGATGTTAGATCTATGTGTCTGATGTCAGCTTAGTTAGACTTTTCTGATATCTGTTTGATGGCTATTTGAAATGTCTACCTGATGTCTGTTTGTGATGTTAGACTTGTCTGTCTGATGTCTGTTTGTGATGTTAGACTTGTCTGTCTGATATCTGTTTGATGGCTATTTGAAATGTCTACCTGATGTCTGTTTGTGATGTTAGACTTGTCTGTCTGATGTCTGTTTGTGATGTTAGACTTGTCTGTCTGATATCTGTTTGATGGCTATTTGAAATGTCTACCTGATGTCTGTTTGTGATGTTAGACTTGTCTGTCTGATGTCTGTTTGTGATGTTATTACTTGTCTGTCTGATATCTGTTTGATGGCTATTTGAAATGTCTACCTGATGTCTGTTTGTGATGTTAGACTTGTCTGTCTGATGTCTGTTTGTGATGTTAGACTTGTCTACCTGATGTCTGTTTGTGATGTTAGACTTGTCTACCTGGTGTCTGTTTGTGATGTTAGACTTGTCTGTCTGTTTGTGATGTTAGACTTGTCTGTCTGATGTCTGTTTGTGATGTTAGACTTGTCTACCTGATGTCTGTTTGTGATGTTAGACTTGTCTGTCTGATGTCTGTTTGAGATATTAGACCCGCCTGCCTGATGTCTGTGTAGTTAAGTGTGTCTGACAGACTTGTGTTTCAGATGGTGGACTTGTCTGCCTGGTGTCTTTTTTGTGATGTTAAGACATGTCTGCCTGGTGTATGCTTGTGATGCATGACCTGTCTGTCTGTGTCTGTAATGACATGAAATATAAGCAAGACAGCAAATCACATTGATTATTTCTCAGGAATAATTTTTTACAGACAGGATTTAAAATTAATCTGAAATTTGACATACGCTGATCTGTGTGAAGCCCGAGTGCGATCAATAAAAGAGAGAAATGGTGTTATGATACAGGAAACTGGAGACGTTCATCATGTCATTGATAAACTGTGTGGGATGTGTGTTACTTTTTATCTGTATACATATAATATTATTGTAGATAACAGAGCTTTTTCCCTTCATATCAACATTCATGAGACAGACATAGGATGAAACAGATCGTCTCAATATCTGCTCAATGATATCATTAATCCATTAATATTTTTTAGATACATATAATAAAATTGTCTTTAGTTTTATGCTGTTAGGCACCTGATCACTGACAACCTAGAATATTTTATATATAATATTATATTTTTATAATTTTATATATTAATATAGAGCTATGTCTCTTCAATAAAAAGGCCTCAAAACAGGAACATCATAAACCAAGAAACAAGGATGTCACAATCCTTAAGTGTCTCATGGTAACATAGACCTAGACACAAGGATGTCACAATCCTTTAGTGTCTCATGGTAACATAGACCTAGAAACAAGGATGTCACAATCCTTTAGTGTCTCATGGTAACATAGACCTAGAAACAAGGATGTCACAATCCTTTAGTGTCTCATGGTAACATAGACCTAGAAACAAGGATGTCACAATCCTTAAGTGTCTCATGGTAACATAGACCTAGAAACAAGGATGTCACAATCCTTAAGTGTCTCATGGTAACATAGACCTAGAAACAAGGATGTCACAATCCTTTAGTGTCTCATGGTAACATAGACCTAGAAACAAGGATGTCACAATCCTTTAGTGTCTCATGGTAACATAGACCTAGAAACAAGGATGTCACAATCCTTTAGTGTCTCATGGTAACATAGACCTAGAAACAAGGATGTCACAATCATGGTAACATAGACCTAGTGTCAATCATGGTAACATAGACCTAGAAACAAGGATGTCACAATCTTTTAGTGTCTCATGGTAACATAGACCTAGAAACAAGGATGTCACAATCCTATAGTGTCTCATGGTAACATAGACCTAGACACAAGGATGTCACAATCCTTAAGTGTCTCATGGTAACATAGACCTAGAAACAAGGATGTCACAATCCTTTAGTGTCTCATGGTAACATAGACCTAGAAACAAGGATGTCACAATCCTTAAGTGTCTCATGGTAACATAGACCTAGACACAAGGATGTCACAATCCTTTAGTGTCTCATGGTAACATAGACATAAGGATGTCACAATCCTTTAGTGTCTCATGGTAACATAGACCTAGAAACAAGGATGTCACAATCCTTTAGTGTCTCATGGTAACATAGACCTTGAAACAAGGATGTCACAATTCTACAGTGTCCCATGCTGACACAAATCTAGACACAATGATGTCACAATCCTACAGTGTCCCATGCTGACACAACCTAGACACAAGGATGTCAAAATACTACAGTGTCCCATGCTGACACAAATCTAGACACAATGATGTCACAATCAAATAATGTCCCAAGCTGACACAAACCAAGAAACAGTGATGTCACAATCTTAGTGTCCCATGCTAACGTGTTACAATCCTATGATGTCCCATGGTACACACAAACCTGGAAAGAACGATTTCACAATCCTATACTTTCCCATAATAACACAAACCTAGAAACAAGGTTTTCTTAATATATATTAACAATACACTCAAAGAAACAAAGACTTGGTAACTTCCTATTGTTAGATGTTTGCAACTGATGCAGCTACAAAAATATTGTGTTTTAGCTCATGCAGTAGGCCAACAGTCTTGTCAACCAGTAGTTTAGCCCTAGCTTAACAACTAAAAATGTTGACCTCTTTCATTTACAAAAATCTTAGAAACATACTTTGATAATCATTTAGCTTTCAAGTTTGATTATAAAAATTTGGAATACAAATTTATTATATTATTTTTTGTTCCATTTCAGTAAAACAAATCCATTTGGCAGTAAGAAGAAGGAAGAGAATTCCACCTATGCCCCAAGTAAATCTCACTACCACCCAATTGATGATGCTTGCTGGAAACATAAGGAAAAGTAAGTGTTAGATTGATGTAATTTTAGGATGAGGCTATCTTGAGAAACCATCAGTTGATTTCTGATAAATTTATACTGTTTTTAGGTCACCTGAGACCAAGTCTCTATTGCAATCATCTTTTGTCCAGTGTTGTCCGGCTGTGTCTGGTGTGCATTTTCAACTTCTCCTCAATAACCACAAGGCCAAGTGTTATTGTTTGGGCCAGTAGCACGCAGGGATGATGGGCTACGAAATTTATTCAAATGAATGACCTTGATCTGTTTTCAAGGTCACAGGGGTCAAATGTGTTAAAATTTTAAATGACTTCTTCTCAATAACCAAAATGACCTATAGTCATGATATTGGGCCAGTAACACGCAGGGACAAAAGGCTACCAGTTTTGCTCAAATGAATGACTGACCTACTTTCGAGGTCACAGGGGTCAAATGTGTTAAAATCTGTAAATGACTTCTTAATAACCAAAGTATCCAGGGTCATATTTGGCCAGTAGCATGCTGGGATGAATGACCTTGACCTTCATTCAAGGTCACAGAAGTCAGATATTCTGCACTTCAACAACAGAAAGTGTTAACAGTTCTGTTTCATAGAAAATTAAGCCTTCAAACTTTGAAACAATAAAAACTTTGTAAATATGCATATATCAGTTCTGTTCTGTCTGCCCGAGTGCTGGGACGGACGGACAGGTTCTAAAATGCTAAAAGACCTGAAGATATCTGGTGACCATTAAGGGTCATGGGCCTCTTGTTGTCCTGGTTACTGTTGGATAATGAAATAAAATTTTGTTTTATAATTTCCTTAACAGCAATTGATATGTGTTGGCTTGTTAAGATGATATTATTTGTTGGTCAAGCTACTTAACAGCAATAGATATGGGTGGGCTTATTACCAGGCATGGACTTACTACTGGATAGATATAGTTATAACCATGTGGGTATGGTATTTTCGTACAGCAGAATCATTGGTCAGGGACAATCTGATTTCATTAGATTAGTTTGTTGTTGTACACAAGCTCATTTCTACAGAGGGGACAAAAAGATCAAAAGAAAAAAATTATAATAGAAAATTATGTTAGGAACAAAAGATTTACAGGAAAACCAGTAAATGAACATTGTAAGTTTGAAAATTTGTCCTTTTTAATTAGAAGGTCTTAAGGATGAAAACATTTACTTTTTGAAACCAGCATCAGGTTTTAACTTGCAGCTAGTCAAGGAGTTCCAACTCAGTTGATTGAAACTTATAACTATTGAAATTAAACGTATGAGCACTAAGGTTAAAAACAAACATGACTTATTATACGGTGTTTGGGTTTAAGCTTGTTTTATATTTGTCTTTATTGTCTATTAGTTCTGTTGTACATCTGGCAGTACCTGGTCTCGTGTAAATATAAACATCATCAATGAATTATAAATATCTTACAAACAGATGCCATTTTTGTGGTTATGTCTAATAATATTAAATTAAGATGCCCCTGGTACTTTCAGTAGATCAAACAAAATCCATATTTTAATGATAACTTAGATATGTTAGTGGTGGTGTAGTTTGGTGGGTTTCTATATTTAAATCTTGGGTGTTGTACATCTGCATGCACTCTGTAAACTGAAAGTGCATTGTTATGGTTTCTGAAGACCTGTATAGGGAAGCTTTTTGTGATGTTTTTCCTTAATTTTTTCTGTTTACATTCTATGACATTTAAAACTTTTTTTGTTTGTTTCTGTTTTAAATAAAGTTATGCAAATCTTTTATTTCCACTTTATTGCAAAAGGGGCAAAATAGTTCAGAATATAAACATTATGAAACTGAATTACAGGACTGGTACACCTCCTCATCTTAATTTAGACATTTCTTGTGATCTTTGGATTTTCATTAGTCACCTCCTACAGGAGTCTGGAAAAGCACTCGTCCAGCCGTCGTGGATGAGTGAAAATTGTCTCGGACAACCAGATTTATCTTTGTCAGTCGTCCATCGGACGTGTACATTTTTCCAATCATATTGATGTTACAACTTAAATTTCAATAAAAATGTAAAGAAAATTTAAAACAAAGAAACATGTTTACGGTACTTCAAAAACAAAATATTCCAGTCTACTCCCATGACGTCAGATATAGCATTCGGAATACCTTAGTCATTTTCCTGCGGTCATACTTATGTCAGGTGGTCTCGGGCGGTACTACCATGTACCAGTCTGTATTTAGCAGCAACGAGTCAGTTGGATGTAAACAACCATTACGTCTAGGCCTAAGTCGCGCACAATGTCTGACGCAAAAGCAGCCATCACTGCATAGTTTTTTCAAAAAAACTTAAAATAAAAATAGAAAAAAGTCACATGTCACATCCTCGCTGATTAAGTCGCTGTTTCATAGCTGGATTTGGACGAGTATATTTCCAATCCAGAGGAGTAAATGTGCCTAGTGGTTTAAAATATTTTTCCAGACCCCTGCTACAGACTCTACTGTTTGTGTTAAAGGCGCTGTTTTTGTATATGACAATGGTAAGCTGATATGTAACAAGTGTTGTTCTCTTTCAGAGTTCCATACCTTGCGCTGGCCAAGACTTTCGAAGCTATTGAAGAGATATCTGCAAGGTATACATTAATGTGTTGTACATCTGTATTATTGATTGACTTCGAACTAAATCTACAGCTTCAGATAATCAGAATGATTGGCTAATCTGTGGGACTGCTTTTGAATTGAGTGAATATCTAAAGAACAGACTATGATTTAGCCAATTTCTCTTTAGTTTGTGTAGAAAAGATGGACTTTTAATCTTAAAGTTCTATGGTTATTTTGCTCATGGGATCAGGTCAAATTGAATTTGGGGGCATTAGAGAAATAAAAAGGACAATATTTTGTGATAAACAACTATTAAAGGTTACTGCCACTAAAGATGCGAATATTGTCAAGGATCCTGGTGAACACTTTAGCTGGTAATGGATGTGTGGGCGCCACTCTGTACATCAGGATGTCTGGCATATAGACTCAGACATTTATTTATAGATGACAAATCTCAGACAGATTTTATATGTGATAAATCAGTAAGTCTGGGCAATCCTTTCAAGCTTACTTCTGTATAATTAAACCCAATATTTGACACCTAACATATGCTAGAAGCACCAATCTTATACAGTTTCTTTCACTGTAATGTTTTGAAGCTAAATGATGGATGCTGATGTGTGTGTAGTATTGAAATGTGCTTTTGATTTGAAGCACAGTTTATTATGATCTCTAGGTATATTAAAAAAGCTAATCTTCATCAGATTTCACTTTTTATGACACAGAAATGAGACCTCTATAAGCATGACATAGCAATGAAAAACAATAGGTGGGTGTTACACCATTTCTGTGGCATCAATCATTCTAACTGTTGTGTAGATATACAAGTTATAATATGTGTGGTGTAACACTTTAGCAGGTTTTGATTGGCAGAAAGGATGAATGTTGTTACCAAGGGAGCTTCATGCACTCACAGAAGTTAGAATTTGCAATAAGATGTTTAGGATTGATTTTGTTAGATTTTAATAATTGTTTGGATTTCTATCTCTTTTTGAGTTTTTTTTTTTTTAATTAATTCTTTTTTTTGCTTTGAAGATAACAAAGCGCTTTCTTTCTATTTATAACTTGTAATGAGTTAAGATATCGTCACGTTTTTTTAAATGATGACATAAACAAAACATGAGAACAAAACACACGTGGGTAAAGAACAAGAACAGGGCAATGAAGTAGAAACAGGACACAAAATTTGTCGTTAATATATATAGTATTTCTTTCCCTGTTGTTATTTTCCAAAAGTTTAGAAATACACTCGCTAAAGCCCGTGTTTTCTTTGTACCATTTAAAAAATGATGTATTATCTTTTTTGTTTTTTAAACATCATGAGATTGATGTTGATATTGATAATTCATGTTAATAATTCAGATCGCTACTGACCAGTGTGAAGCAGTTTGTTATTCTGTCTTTGACTGAGACTCTGTATAAATCAGTTTTACTCAAATAGTATGTTATGTTTGATTGTTGGTAATTCATCAGAAACCAAGACTGAATTGACATCATTTACAACTTGTTTATGTTTCAGGTTGAAGATCATTGATATTCTGTGTAATTTTTTCCGCTCTGTGATAGCCTTGAGTCCTGATGATCTGCTCTTCTGTGTGTACCTCTGTCTCAATAAATTAGCTCCTGCCTACGAGGGCATGGAACTTGGCATTGGAGAAACTGTCCTAATGAAGGCCATCGCTCAGACCACAGGTCAGTTTTACTAAAACAAGTTTTAATCTGGGTTTCACTCCAGGAGTGATGCTTTTCTCTAGGAAGTTATTCTTCATTTTGAGAGTATCTACCACTTAATAAAGACGTACATGTGGAGATGGCTTTTTGTGCTTCTGTCATTGGTAACAAAAATTCTGGTGTATACGTTACAGTGTACCTAATGAACACCTCAACAGGGTTAGGGTCATCAGGCATAAATATCTACACTTTGTTATAATTTAATGGCCTTCAGTCAAGGGTAAAGGGTCAGAGGTTAGCATTACCGCTTTGTGATCAGAAGGACAAAATATATATATTATCCCAGTTCACTATTACATGTTGTAAATGGACATGAAATATACATTTCATAACAAACGTTCTGTGATTGCTTTGCTGATTAACTTAAATTATGGGACATAAACTAATGTTATTTTTAAAATCATAGGTAGAAGTATGGACAAGATAAAAGCAGATGCACAGGAAAAAGGTGATCTTGGAATTGTGGCAGAGGTGAGTTACATACCATCAGGTATTAGTTCAATACTAGAATGGATTGAATGAAGAGTTCCTGATGTCTATATATTGTCCTCAGACCTTCGACTTGTGAACAATTCAGAATTGAAGTATTGAAATACAGTCAAAATGATAAGTAGATGTTGAGACTACTGAATCAGATTTGATGTTATATGAAGAAGGATTTCTTCAGGCATGTTAAGCATTTAAGGTTTGTGTCTTTTACTGTCTTTAATCTTTAATGCCACAAACTCATTGTTTGAAATGATGTTTCTTCAAAATATATTTAAAGAAATGAGACAATTTCTAGCTAAACTTGTATTGTGAATACTTTGTTTGTGCTCCAGTCTAGTCGAAGTAACCAGAGAACCATGTTTGCCCCTCCCAAGCTGACCATCAGAGCTGTGTTTACTAAGTTGAAGGAAATAGCAGTCATGTCTGGAAACAATGTAAGTCCACATACAAATCACTATGCTAATGTCTGTTTGTCCACTTACAGAGGAACATAGTTTATCTGTGACACTTTGGTTTTGGCAAGTTTTATGGCCTTGCTAGTTTCTTGTGGAGTGGAGTGTTACCTACATCCAATTTGTCCTCCTGTTCCATCCTGTTCTATCCTGTTCCTCACTGGTATTATATCTTGAGAACCTCTCAACAGAATTGGTTCACACCAGTTATTTCATCATATGGTAACGTGATCAGATTCAGGTTCATATAGAAGTGAGGACAGTTCTTGTCTTACAGACACTTTCTAGACTGAGACTTTTAAAAAGATAGACCACAGATTTACTTAAACAGTATATATGTAAAGGAAAGATTGACTAATCAAGCTTAAACTTCTGTTTAGGTGATGACCAAGAAGATAAATGTCATCAAAGGTTTGTTTGTGGCTTGTCGTCAGTCAGAGGCTCGCTACCTCATTCGGTCACTTGGAGGAAAGCTGAGGATTGGTCTGGCTGAACAGAGTGTCCTCACAGCGCTAGGCAATGCAGTTTTCCTCACACCACCCGGTCAAGGTAAAGCAGTTTGATGAAAAAATACTGACCTTTCTTTATTTGATCCACTATTGATCCAAACACAATTACAGAAAACAAGCTAACAGTAGATTGTAACAAGGACAAGTTAAAATGAATAGATTTTGAATCTTTAGAATGGAAGAAACTTCCCAATTGTTACCTGTTATTTATACATTTAGTGTCCAGCTTGGACAGTAGGTTTTCTGACTTTAATGTTGATATTTTCTCTGCTTCAACTTAGCTTTTTATTATCAATAGTCCTGAGGGAGACTCTGTTTGTTTGAAAAAGCTATGGAAACAAACTCAAATACCACATCCTGTAGAATGAATGAAATGAACCTTGTTTCTGATCCACAGATTTCCCTCCAGAAATACTCGATGGTGGAAAAGGCCTTTCATCCGAGAATGTAAAAAAGAAGATGGAAGAATCTGCTCTAATTATAAAATCTGTATATTGGTGAGTGTTCATGCCAGGTGTTTCTAGTCCTGGTGCTAGTGTACAAACAGACAGTTTATCCTAAATGGAATCAAGAAATACCAGGTGTCTAGTCCTGGTGCTAGTGTACAAACAGACAGTTTATCCTAAGTGGAACCAAGAAATACCAGGTGTCTAGTCCTGGTGCTAGTGTACAAACAGACAGTTTATCCTAAATGGAATCAAGAAATACCAGGTGTCTGTAGTCCTGGTGCTAGTGTACAAACAGACAGTTTATCCTAAATGGAACCAAGAAATACCAGGTGTCTAGTCCTGGTGCTAGTGTACAAACTGACAGTTTATCCTAAGTGGAACCAAGAAATACCAGGTGTCTAGTCCTGGTGCTAGTGTACAAACTGACAGTTTATCCTAAGTGGAACCAAGAAATGCCAGGTGTCTAGTCCTGGTGCTAGTGTACAAACTGACAGTTTATTGTGAGTGGAACCAAGAAATGCCAGGTGTCTAGTCCTGGTGCTAGTGTACAAACTGACAGTTTATCCTAAATGGAACCAAGAAATACATCAGAATGGAACATCAGAGTGGTCAATAGTCTATACAAATGTTCTCTGCATTCAGTTACAAGGGATATAAATGTTCAGTGATTGAACAGAACTATGCTGATATAGCTTTGTATTGTTACACAATGTGAATAGCATTATACTAGATAACATTTGTGATAATTCAAACTGCTGATATGTATTCTATACATAAAATTTGTAATTTGTTTTCATCAGTGAATTTCACCTTAATGTGTTATACTATATATACCCCTTTTGAACATGTGCTTTGGGGAAATTATTTTTTAAAAAGATTCCTTGCTGTCTGTACGTTAACTTATGTAACAATGTATCATTAAAATGTGAAATCTTTTTTGTTTATCATAGCGAGTGTCCAAACTATGACTCTATCATATCCACAATACTGAAGGAAGGGATAGAGGATTTACCAAAACACTGCAAGCTTACACCAGGTAAGTAGTACCTCCTCCTCTTCCTCAAATTTAATTTTAAATATTTGGTTACAGCATTATGAAATAGATTTAATCAAAGTCAGGGTGAAAGTTCCTGTCTCGTAAACTTCTAAAATGAAATATTTTGTCACATATTTTTCATAACAAACTTGTGTTGCACATTTCCTTTGATACTTGTTTTTAGGTGTTCCACTAAAACCAATGTTGGCTCACCCCACTAAAGGTGTCAGCGAAGTGTTAAAGAGATTCGAGAATGCAGAATTCACTTGTGAATACAAATATGATGGAGAACGTGCACAGGTAAAATATATCCTAACCTCATCATGCTCTATTCATAAAATTCCCCAACTTTCCTGTTGACCAAATTGCCTCGTCCCTTGATTATGATTTGTCATCATAAAAGCAAAAGGATCTTTTATCAGTTTTAAAATTGAATTTATTCTGATTTTCTCATATTTGTTATTTAATTGTTCAGGATTATGTAAAATTCAGTAAATCTTCCAAAACACATTTGAATTCTATGGTTATTTACTTCCCTAACTGATGTTCCAATTATCAATTGATACTGGGATATTTCATTCTTGTTTTCTTTATTCCTTTAATTTTTTCTTGTCATTATCATTGCAGATTCATATATTAGAAAATGGTACTGTGAATATCTACAGTAGAAATTCTGAGAATAACACTAGCAAGTACCCAGATATTATAGCCAGGATCCCAAATGTTATGAAGGAATCTGTCAAATCCTGTGTAATAGACTCCGAGGCAGTTGCATGGGACGCAGAAAAGAAACAAATACAGCCTTTCCAGGTCCTTAGTCACAGGAAACGTAAGGTGGGTAATTGTGTAAAAGTGAGTGATCTCTTGGTGTATGCTGGAAGTCACAGTATGAAAGATCACTACTTGAGACAATATAAAAGCCCAATACCCAAGACAGTATGACAACCCAGTACCTTGGACATTAGAACAGCTCAGTACCCAGGAGAGTATGACAACCCAATACAAAAGACAGTATGACAACCCAGTACCTGGGACATTAGAACAGCTCAGTACCCAGGAGAGTATGACAACCCAATACCCAAGACAGTATGACAACCCAGTACCTGGGACATTAGAACAGCCTAGTACCTAGGAGAGTATGACAGCCCAATACCCAAGACAGTATGACCACCCAGTACCTGGGACATTAGAACAGCTCAGTACCCAGGAGAGTATGACAACCCAATACCCAAGACAGTATGACCACCCAGTACCTGGGACATTAGAACACAGCCTGACAACCCAATACCCAAGACAGTATACCTGGGACCAGCTCAGTACCCAGGAGAGTAGGAGAGTATGACAGTACCCAATACCCAAGACAGTATGACCACCCAGTACCAGGGACATTAGGACAGCTCAGTACCCAGGAGAGTATGACAACCCAGTACCTGGGACATTAGGACAGCTCAGTACCCAGGAGAGTATGACAACCCAGTACCTGGGACATTAGAACAGCTCAGTACCCAGGAGAGTATGACAGCCCAATACAAAAGACAGTATGACAACCCAGTACCTGGGACATTAGAACAGCTCAGTACCCAGGAGAGTATGACAACCCAATACAAAAGACAGTATGACAACCCAGTACCAGGGACATTAGAACAGCTCAGTACACAGGAGAGTATGACAGCCCAATACAAAAGACAGTATGACAACCCAGTACCAGGGACATCAGAACATTCTAATACCTAGGAGAGTATGACAGCCCAATACAAAAGACAGTATGACAACCCAGTACCAGGGACATTAGAACATTCTAATACCTAGGAGAGTATGACAGCCCAATACAAAAGACAGTATGACAACCCAGTACCTGGGACATTAGAACAGCTCAGTACCCAGGAGAGTATGACAACCCAATACAAAAGACAGTATGACAACCCAGTACCAGGGACATTAGAACATTCTAATACCTAGGAGAGTATGACAGCCCAATACAAAAGACAGTATGACAAACCAGTACCAGGGACATTAGAACATCCTAGTACCTAGGAGAGTATGACAGCCCAATACAAAAGACAGTATGACAACCCAGTACCTGGGACATTAGAACAGCCTAGTACCTAGGAGAGTATGACAACCCAATACAAAAGACAGTATGACAACCCAGTACCTGGGACATTAGAACAGCTCAGTACCCAGGACAGTATGACAACCCAATACCCAAGACAGTATGACAACCCAGTACCTGGGACATTAGAACAGCTCAGTACCCAGGAGAGTATGACAGCCCAATACAAAAGACAGTATGACAACCCAGTACCTGGGACTTTGAATATCAGATTATGATACCTATCATTTGGAAAGAATATTATTGTAAGAAATTATTCAGATATTGAAGTCTTACAATACGAGGAAAATGGCTACAATGTGTAAAATCAAATTATGAATTAGAATATTATAACTAAATCTGATAAAATATTTAGTAACCATATATATTGTTTACTGTGTACATCAGAGATGAATCCTTATAGTTCTGCAATATTACTGTTTTTAGTTCAGATAGACACTTGATTGATACATCTTAGAGGTAAATATTGATTGTTTCATTTTCTTTACTTCAAATTTATATTCCAGGATGCTGATGCTTCAGAAATAAAGATCCAAGTGTGTGTTTATGCATTTGACCTGCTTTACCTCAATGGTGAATCGCTTGTGAAGCAGCCCTTTAAGCGACGGCGGGAACTGTTACGCGAGTCATTTGAAGAGGTGGAGGGGGAGTTTGTGTTTGCTAAGTCTATGATATCTTCTGATACGGAAGAAATTGCTGTCTTTCTGGACGAATCTGTTAAAGGTAATGGGACTCAACTTATCATCTTATTAAGAACCTGTCTTCAATTTAATTGGACTTGCTATCCAAGAATCAAAAGATATTGGGAAATTGGTTTATGCATTGTGGTATAATAAAAGTCTTCCAGATGAAGTGTTACCATCGTTCCTAAGACTGTTTGTCAATGATTGTTTGGGAATTATGTTTTCCACACAAACATGTCTCTTCAGGTTAAAAACAAATATCTGAATATTGGCAAGAAAAACAAAACTTTGGACTTTTTACCTGTGTTATAGAAAAGTTTATCCAGTTTAAGTACTGACAATGGATTTAAAAACAGTTTTAGGGGTGGTAAGGAATGCAAAAACAATGTGTTTTCAAACTATTTGTTTAAGTAATTTATTTGTTAACTCCTTATAGAGTGACTACATTAAAAATAGTTGCATGTGTTGTGGATCAAAGAATCGTTTCTTGTCCTTCATCAGTTTATTTCTGGGACAGACATTAGGAGTATTAAGCAATTTGTTGAATTAGTTTTGTATGATTTTTGATATATATGGAATTCTTGTTCATTTTAGGAAATTGTGAAGGACTTATGGTGAAAACATTGGATGTAGATGCAACATATGAAATTGCAAAGAGGTCTCACAATTGGTTGAAGGTAGATTTATATTCCCAGATATTTCTGTTTTTATTTTAGTATTTTTGTTTTAAATCCTTGATGTTCTAAAATTTTTGATATCCATTTATATGATACTTATATTTTCTTGTATGAGTTTATCTTTTAAAAAATTCAAATTTCTGTAAGTGATGATTGGTTATGTCCCTTTTGCAAGTTGATCATCTTTTAGTATGGAGAATGGAATGCTTGGAAGTAATGGTTACCTCCCTTCTTTTAGTTTGTAATCATTTGTTACCTCCCTTGAGCTAAATTTCAGTGTGCTTTTAATTTTAGCTGAAGAAGGACTACTTAGAAGGGGTTGGTGACACCCTAGACCTGGTTGTCATTGGAGGCTACTTAGGGACAGGCAAGAGGACTGGGAAGTATGGAGGCTTCTTGTTGGCATGTTACGAACCAGACAGTGAAGAATTCCAGTCCATTTGCAAGGTATCCACCTGACCGCATAGCTCTTTGTTTTGTTCTTGTGATGACGCTTATGAAATCTTAGAAATCAGATATCACATATTGAGGTCAATAGAAACCATTTTGTGTTTTTAGTTTAGGGGTTGGAAGGGGAGTAGGGAGGTGATTAATTAGCTTTCAGATAATTGAAGATTTTACTTTAAAATGTATTTCAAAATCAATCTGAGATGCTGCTGTTTTACACAGGCATGTTTGAACTTAAAGGCACATTCAGATTATTTTGTAACACTTAAAGTATTAGCTTGTGTATCAACTTTTTCACCAGATGGATTTCCATACTTAATCCATTAAATTATGTACAAATATATAAATTATGTATGAACAAGCTGTTGTTTTACAGATTGGTACAGGATTCAAAGATGATGATCTGGAACAGCATGCCACATTCTTCAAGGAAAATGTGATTGACAAACCAAAGCAGTACTATTGTTGGGACAGCATCCATGAGCCTGACCACTGGTTTGAGCCTGTTCAGGTGTGGGAGGTGAAATGTGCTGACCTCTCCATATCACCCACTCATAGGGCAGCTTCAGGAATTGTAAGTTTTGAGAGAATTCCAGGGTAACTTTGGTTACTAAAAATGAAAGTTAAGACAGATTGGAAGATTTAGATTGAAGTGGAAACAACAAATGTAGATAATAATTTTCAAATAAAAATTTAGGAAACAAAAACTGATAAATATTTAAATGTTATTATGAAAAAGATTTTAGGCTATTTAAATAAAATATGACATTTTAAGTTGATTGTATTGCATACTGATAAAGGTAACTTTGTTATGTGTACAGGTTGATCCAGAGAAAGGTATTTCTCTACGGTTTCCACGCTTCCTTAGAATCCGAGATGATAAGAAACCAGAAGATGCAACCTCTGCTACGCAGGTATGATTCAATGGTAACCTGTAGCATCTATACTGTGTTCAACTGAAGAAACTTTTTTACAAAGCAGTTTATAAAAAGGATATATACAATAACAGCATGCTTGATATCAAAATATGCAGATATCTTGACTATACTGTAGAAGTTCAAAAATATTGATTCAGATGCTAAATATTAGTTTCTCAGGGATTAATCATGACTAAATTTATTACAGAAAACAGGTAGTTTTCCACAAGAAGTTACATTTCCCTTGCAAATATTGAGAAATTTCCCATCTAGAAAATGTACTGAAAACATGGAGCAAATTAATATATTTTGACTTAACATATTTATATATCATGCAATCGAGAAGAAAAAATATCAGCAACACCTCAACATTTTCATACTTTTTAGGTCACCTGTGACCAATGTGATCTTCAATTGTCTGGCCACGTACATCCTAAACGATTTACATTTTTGATTTCTTCTCCAAAACAAAATGACTCAAAAAGAGTCATGATATTGTGTCAGTAGCTGCTGAGATGAAAGGCTACCAAGTTTGTTCAAATGAATGACCTTGACCTACTTGCAAGTTCACAGGTGTCAAATGTGTTAAAATCTTTAACAACTTCTTCTGAATATCCAATTGACCCAGGGTCATGATATTGGGCCAGTAGCCTGCTGGGATGAAGGGCTATCATGTTTGTTCAAATTAATGACCTTGAACTTCATTCAAAGACACAGGAGTCAAATATTCTAAACTACAGCAACAGACAGTTCTGTTTAATTGAAAATTAAGCTATCAAACTTAGAAACAATACAAAACGTTGTAAATATGCTTATATCAGTGCTGTTCTATCTCCCCGTATGCTGGGACTGATGGACTGGTTTTAAAACGGTCCAAAGACCTGGAGACCTTTATTTACGTCTTATTTTTTTACTCAATCCCTCTTTTGAGTTGTGACCAAAAGAGCTGTCCACAATTTCTCCATTTCTTATCTCCATTTGCCAAAATTCTCCTTTTTCCATAATGGATAGTGTTCTTGCCCATGTTCAATATTAACCCATGGTTTCCATTTATGTGTAGGGACTTACTTTGATGATAATTATTTGTATCTCGCTTAATACCATATTTGTTATATTTCAGGTGGCAGATATGTACAAAAACCAGGACCAGATTCAGAACCAACAGGCATCTTCAGAGCCTAGCAAAGAGGGAGATGAGGAAGAGTTCTATTGAAGGGAGACTACTCCATTATTTTTCTATTTTTGATGCAGCAGTGTTTAATGATAGTCTTTATTTTATGAAATCTGTTACTTTTAATACATCAGTATTACCAGAAACCTAGCAGGGATAAAAAATAACGGAAATAAACGGGAAGGATTTTATTTTACTGAAAGCAGTATATGATTGCTGTAAGAATAAATAAACATACAGGCAGTAGATATGTAGATTTAATCTATTTGGAGAAAGAATATCATGTATGTAGATTTTCTACCATCATTTATTTGTCTTAAATACATGAAACCTCAGTTTGTGCTATTAATCATGTCCTGATATTAGGAACAAAGCTGTATTATAATATTATTATAATGTTTAACTGACAGGAAATAAAATTGAAATAACGATATTTGTGTATTCATTTATTAGTACCTCTAGAAACATTTCCGTCCTCTCAGAATTGTCAGCTGTATAAAGGGTTGTATGAACTTTTATATATATACCAGTCAGAACAGCAAATTATTCAGAAACATCCAATCACCTAGGTCTTATACAAGTGTTATACAGTAGGCCTACAGACAAGTGGAGTTCTTGAATATTTGAACGCAGATGAGAAATATTTCAAATATACCTACTTGATACTGATAGGAATTATAACTTTACATTGTGTAATAGTGCTCCGCAATGTTATGGAAATGGTCATCATGTTAATCTTTTTCATTCATGTACAATATCGAATGCAGCACATATTACAGAATGATCCCAGAGTTCTTGTAAACAGATTACATATTTATATGTAAGAGTAATGCTGAGCTGTATCAAAGTGGTATCACTAGTCTGCATTGTCTGAGGTTACTGGTTCCTAGTTACAAGGACGCTTTGAAACAGGCATTATCAGAATTTGAAAGACTTTTGCTCATTAAGGCAAGAGAAATGCATGGATGTCACTGCATTAATTCCAGTGGGCATCATGCTGGACTTACCGATACAGTAGTAGTGAAAGACAGTAGCCTTGGAATTACTTCATGTCGTTGCATCATTTATTTAAAAAACAGCTAGTCGGGTTGTCGCCAACATCATATTATATCAATGCTTTATAATTCGCTACCACCAAAAGTTATATACAGTTATAAGGAATGTATTGAAGCTACCGTACTGTTGTGTAAGTATTACAAGTTAACATAGAGTGGATATGATACCTGTTGGAACTGTGGTACATACTACCTTAAGCCACTTTAAAACTGATTGTTATGTTTTGATAGGAAAGGGACCAATAACAGGATATTGAATCGTCAATAATGATTGGTGGTATCGAAAGTTTGACCTATCTATAGTATCGAGGTATTTGAATATAGGAGATGTCATGTACATGTAAACGCTTTGGAGGTCATTGATAACCCCAGAGGTCACTACTGATTTATCAATAGCCTTCAATGATAAAGCATAGTAGCTACCATGTTGTCGATACGTTACGTCGACTATTAAAAATGTGAAGGAAGCAAAGGGTATATTTATATGTCCCCGCTTGAAGTTTTCATCTCCCCACCACCACCACCAAATTTTTTACGACTTTATTTCGTCATTGGCATTATCTACCCCGACAGTAACTTTAACCTTTACAATATGTTAGATAGATTAATGAACGACCACCAAATCGATGAAACACATTCGGTACAAGTAGAATGTCGTTCATATTAGGTACGAGGCTCAGAAAAAAAGAATCCTGCATCCTCGATACTCACGGGATTACGCTCACTATACACATAGCTCTCTTCAACCCTAGGACATTTCATACCAAAATTGAAGGTTTCATGTGCGACACCTTGTGGACAAAACGAGAAGATAAGTTTGATCCTTTGATGTACATCAATCGAATCCCGAAGTTTGAAGTTGGGTGGCGTTAATTTGCAATCTCCAAAGGAGCGAAGCAGTCTGTGATTGGTCAGTTTTTCTCATGAAACAAGCTGTAGGCCAATCAAATTCCTTTGCTGGTGGCTTCAATTTTGTCATGAAATGTTCCATGGGTGTAGAAAGCTAAAGTTAGCTTAATCCCTGAAGTATTGAGGATAAGGACTCTATTGTTTCATCTGTTAAGATTGATAACGTAAGCCACACCCTAGATCGAGTTTTGTTGTCTTAGACATGTTGTTACATCTGTCAGATTGATAACGTTAGCCACACACTAGATCGAGTTTTGTTGTTTTAGACATGTTGTTACATCTGTCAGATTGATAACGTTAGCCACACCCTAGATCGAGTTTTGTTGTTTTAGACATGTTGTTACATCTGTCAGATTGATAACGTTAGCCACACACTAGATCGAGTTTTGTTGTTGTTTTAGACATGTTGTTACATCTGTCAGATTGATAACGTTAGCCACGCACTAGATCGAGTTTTGTTGTTGTTTTAGACATGTTGTTACATCTGTCAGATTGATAACGTTAGCCACACCCTAGATCGAGTTTTGTTGTTGTCTTAGACATGTTGTTACATCTGTCAGATTGATAACGTTAGCCACACCCTAGATCGAGTTTTGTTGTTTTAGACATGTTGTTACATCTGTCAGATTGATAACGTTAGCCACACACTAGATCGAGTTTTGTTGTTGTTTTAGACATGTTGTTACATCTGTCAGATTGATAACGTTAGCCACACACTAGATCGAGTTTTGTTGTTGTCTTAGACATGTTGTTACATCTGTCAGATTGATAACGTTAGCCACACCCTAGATCGAGTTTTGTTGTTTTAGACATGTTGTTACATCTGTCAGATTGATAACGTTAGCCACACACTAGATCGAGTTTTGTTGTTGTTTTAGACATGTTGTTACATCTGTCAGATTGATAACGTTAGCCACACACTAGATCGAGTTTTGTTGTTGTTTTAGACATGTTGTTACATCTGTCAGATTGATAACGTTAGCCACACACTAGATCGAGTTTTGTTGTTTTAGACATGTTGTTACATCTGTCAGATTGATAACGTTAGCCACACACTAGATCGAGTTTTGTTGTTTTAGACATGTTGTTACATCTGTCAGATTGATAACGTTAGCCACACACTAGATCGAGTTTTGTTGTTGTTTTAGACATGTTGTTACATCTGTCAGATTGATAACGTTAGCCACACCCTAGATCGAGTTTTGTTGTTGTTTTAGACATGTTGTTACATCTGTCAGATTGATAACGTTAGCAACACCCTAGATCGAGTTTTGTTGTTTTAGACATGTTGTTACATCTGTCAGATTGATAACGTTAGCCACGCACTAGATCGAGTTTTGTTGTTGTTTTAGACATGTTGTTACATCTGTCAGATTGATAAAGTGAGCCGCACACTAGATCGAGTTTTGTTGTTGTTTTAGACATGTTGTTACATCTGTCAGATTGATAACGTAAGCCACACCCTAGATTGAGTTTTGTTGTTGTTTTAGACATGTTGTTGCATCTGTCAGATTGATAACGTTAGCCACACACTAGATCGAGTTTCGTTGTTGTTTTAGACATGTTGTTACATCTGTCAGATTGATAACATTAGCCACACCCTAGAATGAGTTTTGTTGTTTTAGACATGTTACATCTTTCAGATTGATAAAGTGAGCCACACACTAGATTGAGTTTTGCTGTTGTTTTAGACATGTGGTTACATCTGTCAGATTGATAACGTAAGCCACACCCTAGATCGAGTTTTGTTGTTGTTTTAGACATGTTACATCTGTCAGATTGATAACGTTAGCAACACCCTAGATCGAGTTTTTTGTTGTTTTAGACATGTTGTTACATCTGTCAGATTGATAACGTTATCAACACCCTAGATTGAGTTTTGTTGTTGTTTTAGACATGTTGTTACATCTGTCAGATTGATAACATTAGCCACACCCTAGATCGAGTTTTGTTGTTGTTTTAGACATGTTGTTACATCTGTCAGATTGATAACGTTAGCCACACACTAGATTGAGTTTTGTTGTTGTTTTAGACATGTTGTTACATCTGTCAGATTGATAACGTTAGCAACACCCTAGATCGAGTTTTGTTGTTGTTTTAGACATGTTGTTACATCTGTCAGATTGATAACGTTAGCCACACACTAGATCGAGTTTTGTTGTTGTTTTAGACATGTTGTTACATCTGTCAGATTGATAAAGTTAGCCGCACACTAGATCGAGTTTTGTTTTTGTTTTAGACATGTTACATCTGTCAGATTGATAACGTAAGCCACACCCTAGATTGAGTTTTGTTGTTGTTTTAGACATGTTGTTACATCTGTCAGATTGATAACGTTAGCCACACACTAGATTGAGTTTTGCTGTTGTTTTAGACATGTTGTTACATCTGTCAGATTGATAACGTTAGCCACACACCAGATTGAGTTTTGTTGTTGTTTTAGACATGTTGTTACATCTGTCAGATTGATAACATTAGCCACACCCTAGATCGAGCTTTGTTGTTGTTTTAGACATGTTGTTACATCTGTCAGATTAATAACGTTAGCCACACACTAGATCGAGTTTCGTTGTTGTTTTAGACATGTTGTTACATCTGTCAGATTGATAACATTAGCCACACCCTAGAATGAGTTTTGTTGTTTTAGACATGTTACATCTTTCAGATTGATAAAGTGAGCCACACACTAGATTGAGTTTTGCTGTTGTTTTAGACATGTGGTTACATCTGTCAGATTGATAACGTAAGCCACACCCTAGATCGAGTTTTGTTGTTGTTTTAGACATGTTACATCTGTCAGATTGATAACATTAGCCACACACTAGATCGAGTTTTGTTGTTGTTTTAGACATGTTGTTACATCTGTCAGATTGATAACGTTAGCCACACACTAGATCGAGTTTTGTTGTTTTAGACATGTTGTTACATCTGTCAGATTGATAACGTAAGCCACACACAAGATGGAGTTTTGTTGTTTTAGACATGTTGTTACATCTGTCAGATTGATAAGGAAGCCACACACTAGATTGAGTTTTGTTGTTGTTTTAGATATGTTACATCTGTCAGATTGATCTCGTGAGCCACACACAAGATTGAGTTTTGTTGTTGTTTTAGACATGTTGTTGCATCTGTCAGATTGATAACGTTAGCCACACACTAGATCGAGTTTCGTTGTTGTTTTAGACATGTTGTTACATCTGTCAGATTGATAACATTAGCCACACCCTAGAATGAGTTTTGTTGTTTTAGACATGTTACATCTTTCAGATTGATAAAGTGAGCCACACACTAGATTGAGTTTTGCTGTTGTTTTAGACATGTGGTTACATCTGTCAGATTGATAACGTAAGCCACACCCTAGATCGAGTTTTGTTGTTGTTTTAGACATGTTACATCTGTCAGATTGATAACATTAGCCACACACTAGATCGAGTTTTGTTGTTGTTTTAGACATGTTGTTACATCTGTCAGATTGATAACGTTAGCCACACACTAGATCGAGTTTTGTTGTTGTTTTAGACATGTTGTTACATCTGTCAGATTGATAACGTAAGCCACACACAAGATGGAGTTTTGTTGTTTTAGACATGTTGTTACATCTGTCAGATTGATAAGGAAGCCACACACTAGATTGAGTTTTGTTGTTGTTTTAGATATGTTACATCTGTCAGATTGATCTCGTGAGCCACACACAAGATTGAGTTTTGTTGTTGTTTTAGACATTGCTGAGTATTATTTTATTATTAATATATAGTTCCTCCCGTCGCACGCAGATTTGACGGCACCTTATCGTTTCTCTCAGGGACACCGAACACTTCGACAAATCAAGGGAAACTGAATCCAAATAATTGATTCTATATTCTATAGGGTGGGGGGGGGCTCTTTACAGCTTGATTTTTTTTAAATCTGTAGGTTTTGTAAAATTTCCCTGACTTTTAGAATTTTCATTCGAGGGAAACAGTTACGTTACACTATATTTACCACGGAAAAATGCAATACTAAATCTGGTCCGCCGGTACAGAAAAAGTAGTTAACCTTCGACACCATCGAATTCGCGATATATATGTATACATTTCGGCATACTAGTGTGTCTCGTTTGAAAAAAACCTACAATCTAACATTCAGAGAAAACCTTTGTAAAGCTAAAGCTATCAGGGTTGTGTGAAGACATTGTAGGCATTTATCACTGAAGCTTTAAATGTTAAACAATACCTTGAACGCCTACGTTCCGCCTCGTAAAACAATTAAGTCACATACACAATACCTACCCACGGAATAACTGGTGCATTTCTCGAACTGAGCACAGGTGGAGCCACCCAAGGTAACAATGTTTACTTATTTCTTCATACTATTTATATTTTACGAATGGTTCTGGATTTATCTTACCTGTCTTTGTTGACAGTACTATTTTTAAAACCCACAGTTGTTCTATTATTTAAAGGGTACAAATTTCTTCACTTAATAGCATTGGAGATTAGAATTGAAATTACCATGAACTTTAACACTTTATTATCAACTTTAAGAAACCGTAACATTCCAGTATCCATACCTTGGTATTACCAACGTAAACTAATGATGATTAACTATATGAGTTTCCATGGGACGTCGTACTACCTTAAATATGGCAGGGGACGTCGATCGGCACAGCCTTAGATATTTCAGGGGACACCGGTACGTCTCTAAATATCCCAGAAAACACTGAATGGCACATACTTAAATATTTCAGGGGACTTCGATTGACACAGTCTTAAATATCCCAGGGAACTTTTGTACAACGTTTTACATTTTAGGGGATATCACACTACTCTAAATATTCCAGGTGACATCACACTACTCTAAATATTCCAGGTGACTTCGCACTACCCTAAATATTCCAGGGGATATCACACTACCCTAAATATTCCAGGTGACATCGCACTACTCTAAATATTCCAGGTGACATCACACTACTCTAAATATTCCAGGTGACATCACACTACTCTAAATATTCCAGGTGACATTACACTACCCTAAATAGTCTAGGTGACATCACACTACTTTAGATATTTCAGGTGACATCACACTATTTTAAATATTCTTGTGGACATTCTACTATTAATATTTCTATTGATATCGGTGTAACCTGAATAGCATTGCTTTTTCCTGCAGTCTTGTCATTGACTCCTTCTATGGATGGCTTGTTAAATGTCTGATGATGTTCAGCCGTCGTCGCCGACGTTACAGGCTTGTCTGTGTGGTTGTCATCCTCTTGCTCGTCGTTCTGTGTGGTGAGTACCGTTTTGATATATGCTCACTGATCTTTAAATGGCGTATATCAATTAATTCCAATAAATGAAATATGATTACGTTCATACACATGTAGTATATGCCTATCAAGTTCTGCCAAGATCTTTTTGAAGACCAGTTATCGAGGTATCAGTAGAATACATTTGTTTTCCCCACGTGCCTTGTCCAGTCTTAGAGGACATCCAAATGCTTTTTCAGTAACATTTTCCACTTGCAAGACGACAAATTGACATTTTCCGGCTCCAAATTCATATTAAAATACCACTATTATTGTGTTAGTTTATTGTTTCCATATTTGTTTTTTATTCTCTACTCTCTCACTGTTTATATGTGGGCTACCTTCCAGAGGTCTCTGTCGATAACACGGAGGGTCAATGGGGCGTCCATGTTCGGCTACGTTTTAGAAAAAGACCTACAACACCATCGGTAAGTTCACGATCTATATTTGTATCATGGTATTGTCTTACCAAAGAGAAAAGATAACAGTACATAAAGTATACGTAACCAGCTGCCGAGGGAGTGAGTTTCCTACATCACCATTCGAAAATCTCTTTATAATAGTCCACCAGTACAAAAAGTATACGTAACAAGCTGCCGAGGGAGTGAGTTTCCTACATCACCTTTCGAAAATCTCTTTATAATAGTCCACCAGTACAAAAAGTATACGTAACCAGCTGCCGAGGGAGTGAGTTTCCTACATCACTATTCGAAAATCTCTTTATAATATTCCACGAGTACAAAAAGTATACGTAACAAGCTGTCATTCCTTCATCACCATCTCCGAAAATTATTTTCATGAAATCTTTAGTTTCATTTAGTTGTTTTATAGTTAAGTCACCCTTGTAACATACTAATCTGTTATTCTAACAGGTAGACACGCCCATTAGGATCAAGGTAGGCAAGGCGAGATCTCGATGGCGTAAACAGATAGACGAACGACGTCGACGCTTGCAGCGTGTTTGTACGACCCAGTCAGCACACACAGATTTTACTCAACTAAACCTCCGTCACTTTCAGTATAACCATAAACACCGAATGTTGTACTGCGGCGTGGAGAAAAGTGGCTCGACCTTTTGGCGTCGGCTTCTACAACAGATAGACAAAAACGTCATCATTAGTCCTTATAACATCAGACCTGAAAATGGCTTGCTTAATTATAGAAACCTTGCCAATGAAACGCTAGAAGAACTGGACGACATTTTAAAGTTTTCGGTCAAGTTTATGGTCGCTAGAGACCCATATACACGATTATTGTCTGGATATATCGATAAGTTGTACTCGCCAAACGTCTACTTCTGGGATTCTATAGGAGAACATATTGTTCGGGCGGTACGACCTAACGCCACAATGAAAAGTAAAACATGTGGGCATGATGTGACGTTCTTAGAGTTTGTGAAATACGTTATCAAATCACAGACGACGGGGGAGAAAAAGGACAGTCATTTTATGCCAGCTGTGGAAATATGCAATCCGTGTAAAGTTAGATTTGATATAATAAGTCAAATGGAGACATTTAGATTCGACGTACGTTTTATTCTAGAAACTTTCAACCTTCGATCTTACTTAGGCGTTATTGACGGGCCATCGTATAATATGCTCAATGATACGATATATGACGTTGCGCAGGCTTTCGTGTCAATGCGAACAGATATACGAAGATGTATGAGCGTGCATGCTGCGCTTCTGAGAGTTTGGGAAAAGCTACAAATTAAAGGAATTGTTAGTTTAGATATACCCTGTCCCTTTAAAAAAGACGAAGTGTCTGGTTTAACAATAGACATAATGACAAGTGTCATTAGAGAAGCGTTGGATTCGGCTTCTTTAAGTGCTTTGAAATCCCAGCGAAAATCCTTGTTTTTAAAGTTTTATAGACAGATACCATTAGATGTACTACGTAAACTAGCCGATGTGTTTAAAAACGATTTTGACCACTTTGGTTACGAACAATATCCAGCAATCTTGTTTAAAAGAGTCAATACTGAAAAAACGATCGGTTAACATTAAACTATTACCTCGTAAAGAAACACAAGTTGCTATCCCCATTCAATGTCCATCTTGATACGACCATAGCTGCTGCGAAGACGTTAAACCTCGTAAAAACAAAGAAAAAATTAAAAGATATATGGTGTATCTGTGTTTTGCTTTGCTGCCATGAGCATACTCATGTAGTTAAACCTCTTTCAGCAAAATCATGACGGGACGCTTGTAGAATCGGCAGCATAAGCATGTCTACATGTTTACCTTGACTGAAAACTCATAATGATCAGAAAATGTGTTTCAACCAATTTACAGCAACACGACAAGAATATCTTGCAGCAAATTGACATATCTAAGTGGAAATTAATATTATCTAAAGGTTTATGTGTCGATATTTTGTGTCCGAGATCATTATTACAGATAAAGGTTGCTATATGTCCAAATTTCTATTATGTAGAACCTTATTGCAATCATATTACATGGGAATTTTGAAGATAATAAAATCGAATGTGAAAGTGGTTTTAAAATTGGTTATACTCTGTATGACAAGGAAATATTGCTTAGTGGTAACATTTACTAGTTCAATATCTAATGGTAATGTTGATATTTTTCAACAATAGTAATTTTGGCGACCTTGCCCACATAGATACGAGTCCTGATCACATCATAATCTAGTGTATCTTGTAAAGAAGGGCACTAACTCTGCTGAACTTAAATACACATACGAGATTGTCATAGAGCAAGAGAAACATTTAAATCTAGATATAGAACATAATACACGTGTTACATTTGTTACATTACGGTCTGTTCGTGTCTTTCCTTGAAAAGCCACTTTTTGTGGGTATAAGCTTACTAAACTTCTATGTCAGATTCTCGCCAGCTTCAAAATAAAGTATTTCTATACATACATCTGTTCTGGGTTAAATACAAGATAGTTCATGCAATGATGGATACGACAGTGTAAATAGACTCTGAGTTTAATTCAGATCAGTCCATGGTGTTGTGATTACCATTACTGCGATTCTGGTGTTCACGACTTGCAGTATTATTTGCTTCAGATTATTTCAGTCCGTGGTATAAATCTCAGACAAATCTCTGTCTTTATCACGAATTTAGGCACTTTCAACCTACCTAAATTAAAACTGATATCTAAATTTCTTTTCAAATGTTTACAGATATTGTTTAAAGAGTTGATGGTCTACACTATGTCGTCATTGGAAACATGTGGATATTTCGTTTTCTGACAGCATGCCTGGTGGTTTAATTATCAACTTTGTTCTGATACGGTAACGTAGCATGACATACTTGGATTGACCAAGATTGGATTACCTTCCTGAATACCTAATCTGATTTTCCGTGTACTTTTTCCAGGGATCTCAGAGAAGGACCTTCTTTTGTATCTATTTTGTATGTATTTCATACTCGTTTCATGATTTTTGAGTTTGAATTCTGATTTTGTTAACTTGTCGATATTTTCTTTATTGTGGTGTTTGTATTTCAATAAAATCCCTAGAAAAGTACTGCCGTTGATAAAAAGAAGTATTTTGGTGTTTTCCCTGGAGAGACATGCCTCGAACAAATACAATCAAGAAGAATAAAACGAAAAATTGAAGTATACCGGCCAGACATTTGATGTTTGAGAGGTATATCAAATAAAAGTCTTTATTGATTTCTAGTTACCAAAATCGCATCGTCAGCTGTCACTGTTCACCTGGCCTCGCCTTCGGTGCTTTGGGTCCTCGTTTGCTGCTGTCGACAACGTTTCCGTATGTAACTATGGAATATTGTGTTATGTTTTGTCAATAACCATGGTGTTCGTGTGTTTTATTTATGACGAAGTATGGAAGAAAAGGGTTTTTACCTGAAATGGTACAAATTGAGATACCAAACCCCGACAAACGTTGATTCATTCGTGTGGTTTATATGGTTCCATTGATTTTTACAATGGTCCACTGATATTCATCAAACACGACCAAAATATTATCGCTTTCTTTGTGTAAAAGATATCTTTTCTAGAGGGAGAAAAAAAAGTTTTGTTAACAAGTTTCATTGACCCTTGTATAAACTGCCTGATCACACCTCCAGCTAATTTTATCAGACTTGATGAGATGGTAAAACGGTCCTCCTGTCGCGTGGTACTTTCAGCATATCTAAGCCTGCTGGTCCTTTATTCGAGGGAGTGATTCTCTATGCTGAGTCGGACACGCCACCAAGACATGCCCTAACATTCAAACTGCCGGTTTACTTTGTCTAGCCGATCTGATTCTCAAGGGATTAAATACGCAGGCTTTATCCCACGTGGCAGTATGTATTTCAGTGGCATTTTTTGAGTGCATTGAGTCGGTAAATCTGTGTGAACGATACCTTGTAAAGATTATGAGGCACAGTGGACAGAGACGACACTGTGATTGGCGGTCCTCTTGTCAATGTAATAAATTAACCTCGTATCTCCTGGGGGCTGTCCCTTCGTGTTGAAATAGGGCTAGTTATACTGTCCTAATTATTATGGGATTATTCGGCGAGCACTCATCCCCGTTCTTCTGCAGTATCCAGTGGTGACAATGAGGCCACCGGACCTGTCCCGGGTCCATGTTCTCCTCATCTCCAGCCTCTGTCTCCTCTCGCACGCTTCTTCATGGTAGGTCTAAACGCACACATCGATTAGGATGTTTGCGGCATGTTAGAGCTTCATTAACAGTTTGTGTCTTCCTGATGGAGTTCATTTTTTTATCATTATTTTGTAATTTTTCAGAAACATATATTGTATTGTTTTAAGTTGATATATATGTTATATTTTATTTATTATGCACCAGATTATCGTGATTGTTTGTAAATGTTTTCTTTATGTGTTTATTGTTCTTTCACTATTTCGGATCACTCGCTAATTGTTCGACATTTTTTTTTATAAATGATTTGTGCTGGTTGAAATCTTTTTAATAAATCTTCAATGTAGTTTGTGTTTATATCTAAAGATTATTTTTTCGGATGCTAATTAATTTTGTTGATTTACATTAATATTGCTCTGAGAATTTAAGTCACGTAGAAAAAATAACATGTTTATCGAATCTACTATTGTAAGTGAGAGATTTTGGACTAAATGATTTGCTTTGTAAATGCTCTGTGATAATATATTTTGATAATTTCAATTTTTTGTGTATCATTTTTAATGTCCTTAACTTCAGTCCTACTTTTGTTGTCGTTAGTGAGTTTGGTATCATATGAAAGATAAATGATATATTGTATCCATTTAATCAGCAGTTTTATGGTAGTTTCATTTAGTATCAAATAAACCATACTGATTTATTTAGATCATTGCGATTCTTTTACTCTTTATCGAACCTTAATCAATATTCATTTGTTATCATATAATTTACACTTTATATCTCATCATGTTTCGCATCGTTCTCTTTTCTCGTAATGTCCTTTTTGTAGATGTTTTCTTTTGTTTTTTGTTTTTCTAGGTAACGTTTTCCCTAACCATAGCCGATAAGGAATAATTATATTCAACTTTCTATTTGTATTTTCATTAATTCTAATTTCAATTTTAATTAATTTTAGCTCCATTACACAAGAAATGTTTTTTTTCACGTTTGAGCCTGTGTGTACTACATCCTGTAGTATCCACTGATAATGTACAGTTTTCGTCATCTATCGAAGTAATTTTAGATAAGATTAGAACGAAAGCTTTTGTTATTTTAAATTTCCATACAGACCTGGACCACCTAAATTTGATATAAATGTTAACATTTTAGGCGACAAATGTTGATAATGGTTTTCATTGTCGGTTTAAACACTACTAGGTGGTTTTTTTTCTTTCGTCAAACGATATACTGAGGGCATATGTGTAAGTAAAAACCATTCATTTATAACACTATCATGTCGATATAAGTAGACTTTCTGTTTGATATTAGTATGTCAAAAAGGCTATGTTTCGATGTACATAAGATAGAAACTTGACGGGCTTAACAAAAACATAAAAAAAGGAATACAATTGTCCGAGATTAAATTTATCAAGTTTTCTTGTTCTTTAATTCATTTTTTTTTTGGTGGGGGGAGGGGATTTCGGGGTAATGGTACAAGTTATAGGTAAAATATGGCAATGCCTCTTTTTTTCTTAATGAAAATTTAAGACAAAGTTGTTTGTCCCCTTATCATTTTCTGCAGATTTAAAGATGATATCTAGTCTAGTACCAGATACGCACGCCTTTGTCTCCGTTTGATCTATATCTTATTTTCCTTTTAGATATATTTTACTCTATTGGAAGGACGAATTAGCTGGGTGATACAGTTTCATTAATTATTTTCTGTTTTTGTATTGTTATTCACTCGCGTGCCTTTTGTACAATCTTTTGATTCTCATATTTGTTTTTATTTCGCGAATTTTCACTGTGATTATGTTTCTATGTTCTTAAATACAATTTTGCGTCTGCGCTAATTTTAACATATCTAGATAATATTTTTTTACATATTTAAAGTCAGACAGTTATGACTACCCGATGTCTGCCAAATGTTTTCGATCTGTCAATCATACCAGTGAAATAATAGGACGCAGTCATATGTGATTTATGATCAAGTGTTACTTAAAATAACCTCCTGACAAATGTTGTGCCTATTATGACACTGTCAGTTGGGTTGTATTCGTGTGACGATCTCCTTAACGTAACGACGAGATTAGACGATAAGAGGATTTGTACCGATGTACCCAGACGACCCTCTACAGGTCCTAGTTATGATCGTCTCTAACTGACACACATCATGTCTGCAATATCAGTTTTATATCTAATACGGGGTTAAATTATAGACAGGATTAAAATTGCTTGATTTTATTTTTCAGGTCACTGAACAAAATTCTAATGACTGGCCCAAAGGCTAATCATTTAGTGGATAACTTCACCAGAAACAATAACCTGTGGACAAAATACCAGGTAGGCAGAGTTCTTTGGCCTTATGGCCCGTATAGGTGTCGGAAATACCACCCCGATACCACAACAATGAGTACATAGTCACAAATCTGACAACCATTATATAGCATTGTCTTATCATACAGCCCCATCATGTACTTATAGGAATTATGTCATCGACGTTTTGTATCCTCAATATTAACGTCGTCTTGAGTCTTGTCAACGCAGAAGAGGTAGTATGTCTTTGCCAGGTACAGGAATACCTGGGTTAAAAAGGGTAGTGTATAAGGAGAGTTGATAAAGAGGGAGAATGAATAATAATACTTGGGATAAAAATGAAGTTTTATTTACAAGGTTATTAAAAGATAATATATTAAAAATACTTGGGTTTTGAAGGATACTGTATAAATTACTTGGGTTTATAAGGATACTGTTTAAAAAGAAGAGTACTTTTTAAGAATACTTCGATTTAAAAGGTTATTTTTAAGAATACTTGGGTTTAGAAGGATAATGTATTTAGAATACATGTGTTTAGAACGATGATGTTTAATACTTGGATTTTGAAGGATGATTTATCAGAAGGATACTTTTCTTTAGAAAGATCAGGACTTCATACGAGAAAACCTTGGTTTAGTAGTAGAGCTAGCATTAAAATGTCTTCGGTACAAATATATACATTTGTAATTGTTAAAAATTCGACCAATATATGTACATTAGCAGTAAATTTATCACTTCATTTCTGCGTCCAGATATAATCAAGATATGTATTTTGGCTGGTTTTAATACCCCGATTTGTTATGACCTGTCGCTCTTGTCCATTTTTCCGATATATGTCTTTAGACAGACGGAATGTTTATATAATTACAAACAAACGAGAAATATATACGTTACAACACAATTTCGAACAATAAAATAAAAAAATAAAGATATTTTTATTTTGTGGCAACAAATGTTTTTCATGAAATGTCAAGATCTGTCGGTCATGGTCAAGACTTGAGTTTTGCTTTGTTGGAGAAAATCTCTTCTCACAATATAAAAATAACTATGTTTTTGTCACAAATGGTTAAAAACTGGAGAATTATCTAAGATGACAGCAGCGGTTACATACATAAAATGCTACCATTTAAGACCAAGATTACGGTCACGGATTTATTGGTTAAAACGGTTCTTTTTAGATCAACATCACATTTCTTCATACCTGTAGATTACATAGAATAATGGCGATTTGATTTCTCCAATGGCCCAAAGACAGTGTAATGTCGTTGCGTAAAAGACAAAAGTAGTATGTTTGTTTTAATTGAATTTGAATGTGTATGAAAAACAAATTTACATAAAGAATTGATTAGATATGGCAATTTGTGCGGAAATGTTTTATGCTGTTTGAAGATAAAATCAAGTTTCTATATAGCGCGTGATTTTCGTATTATCAAAATAAATAGTTTAGTGAAATTCAGTATGATGAAAACTGAATACTCTGATAACAAGTAGATTTTGATCACGTGTAAGATGACGTGTATAAGTCACTTGTTTATATGATTGTGAAATAGGCTGATTGTACCGAAATTTACGACACATTGTTGAAATATTTATCAACCCATGACTGTACCTGAAGCTTATTTTTACATTACAACTTGCGGATCAAGATTATAATCACTGTCATTTATATAATCTCTGTGTAATCTATAACGTAACTTAATCATATAGAACATTTATATTTTTATATAAATTTTCAAAATAGCCCGATACGATTGTTCATTGTTAATGATCATGTAATCGAACTGAGATATTGTTGCGGTCGTTACAACATCAAGGTGCAGAACTAAGTTGACAAAACACATTTGTCACGAAAGAAGACAGACATATATGGAGTAAACGAACATCAGTCTGATTAATTGAAATACGACGAATAGGGTTAAACATGTTAATATATTTTAACACAGATTAATCCAAATATGGTAATGAATCTAATTGACCCAAATACACGCGCGTTTTGTGGGTGATGACCCGCTCATGCGACTGACTCTATCGTTATCTAAATCCCGTAACAACCCGTACAATTGCCCTTTTATGGAAAATGATGAATGAAAACATGATCCCCCTCTAAGCCATTCATGACCCAGACAATTGTAATATGATATCTGCTACTTAGATGTGTTGAATACAAAATGCGCGTGCAGCCACTCATTAGCTTGTAATTAGATTATAAATCCACACGCTAAGCTTGAAGCCATTAACCAGTTTTTCAGTGTATTAAACGGACCAGATTTGATAGGAGAGTTCTAATGTTTTTCGTGACAGTTCTTCTGAGATAGAAATAAAGACGGTGTTAACAGTGGTGGTTTATCTGAGAGAGACAATGATTCATAAACTCTGGGAGTTCCACATTCCACATATCTTAATGTCGGGAGTAAAAACACAGACTGTGTATAGGAAATCCTCATATCTATCTCCCTAACCTCTGATCTCTGTATACGGACAAGACAACGCTGTAGATGATCATTTCAATTAAGTTATGTAGCCTTTGACCTTGCGGTAGATTTTGATCTCGTTATTTTAAACATAATCCGTCACATAAGTCAATTCATGACATGACCAACGGCATCTCGAGACAACAAAATACCGTATAGGTTGGGTCTGATCACATTAACAATACCGCGTCATTCTTATGTAACCATTTATCTATATTCCTGACAAGCTGTCTAATTGAAGGAATTTCAAACATTGTAAAACAAGTTGTAGATACATTTTTTTTCTATTAAGATTGATAAGATGTTTGTTTAGGTGCGGCTATCGTTCTTTAAATCTTCTCTTTTGTTAAAACAAACCACAAAAATATCATTATATTGGAGTTCACACTCCTGTTAATTAATGATTTACCCAAGTGTGTACTTAAACATCAAGTGACTCGGCCTGGTTGTATTTTATTTCAATCGATGAAATCAAATAAAGGAATAGACGTGTTTGCGGTATATCCACAACAGCTGTAATGGAAATACTGACATAATTATATAGACGTGAAGAAAATAAAACTTTCAACTGAGTGAACATTTTTTGCCATTATTTTGCTTTGTCATAAATGATATCTTTTTCGAGTAAAACAATTATTTTTGGCATGCGCGTGGTTTTCGATTTACGGTATACTTCCACTGCACTTGCTGTGCACACACTGATCGTCTCAGAGTACCATTATACATCAATGATGCTTTTGTATTTGTATATCCAGAAAGATACTCAACTGTAAAGGTATGGAGGGTCTAATGACAACAACAATACATTATCTGCAATAGAGTCTTGTTATCAGAGAATTCCATCAACAACGATCTCACTATATCTGATGACAGTTTGACAATTATGTTTACATGCCAACCAGGAATGAATTACATCATTTATATATAGGTTATAAATAAACAGGTGTTTTAGACATGTCAGGTAGAGTACCGTAAAAGGAAGACATGTAAAATGTTTTGTTTACAAGATTGAATATTATACAGTGAACCTATGTGCACCTATTGGCAGAAACATGGTTATTGTTGTCATCTTGTCGATGCACTTTAATAGTGCAGGTACACTACACTTAATCATGTTGTGTGACTCTTGGTTAAAATGTGTTATCCTCCTTGCTATGAACCAATTTTCTTTCAGTTTCTAATGCATTCCGTCTTTCCCTGCCCCTTTTTTTCTTCTTCAGCATGTTAGTTTGTTATACATGCACTGTCATTGTATAATGATAAAGACACTGTCGTATCTCCAATTTACAAATAACACTTATAACTTGTGTCGAATCCTTCATTGATGTGTTTTCGTTATTCCACTGCTACATGTATGTAATGTGGTTTAAACTAAATTGTGTCTTTACATTCATTTACATATATTTCAGTTGAGTTTTATCTATCTAACACACATATATAATGGGTTCTTTCTTTTATATGAAGGATTCAAAAAGTTACTTTTGCTTGATTTGATAAAATTGATCTAAATTAACTCTGATGTTATATTTAAAAATTAAGTACCATTTTTTTCATTAACAGGTGCACACAATGTTTATGAAAAGTATGGACCGAGGGTCGCTGAGGGCAGCCAAAGAATGTCGTCATCAATTTAAATGGGACAGATGGAACTGTCCTATCGTTGACATGAATCGCCAGATACACAATATAAGAGGTAAATCAGTGTTTTGGCTTTTTGCTGAAGATTAGTATCTCCGGGTAAAATGTTGTGGAAAATAATTCCAATATTTCTATAAGATACATGTACCTTTCCAAACTATGAAATATATTTTTCTTTAAACATTTAGCGTGAGGACTTGAATCGTTCAACCCCTCCCCCTCCTTCCTGCGTTGCGGGTCGAACAGACGAATAGAATTTGTTTTGATAATCATATTGTACAAGTTTGATAAAAAGAAATGTTTTAAAATCATACAGAAGTAGAACGTAATATCCAGTACTCGAAAACGATTTGTTCCGTCAAAACGCTTCATATTTCTTCTTTGGAATAACTCAAAGCGTGCACTGTCAAATGTAAACATCAACAAACTACTTGGTTCAATTTTCAACGCCATGCTTTTCGAATACTCTTTCCCTGTATATCTACTGTAAACTGTGACGTTAGAAATAACACAAAGTTTTGATGTTCAAATGATGCAGGTTGATGAAAATTATGAGGAGGAAGTTTGATGGTCGCCATAGTGATCTCTTTGAGAAACATTCTATTTCATTGTGTGACATAAAGCTGGACGTTAGTTTGCCTTTTGGTTCCGATGTTGTATAACTTTTTCTGATTTGAGAACGTGGCATTACTTACTCGGATTGACCAAGTTTTACATGGCGGTTGTCGATGAAGCAGAAGACGCTTACTCATCTTGACCACCAGGTCTTATTCTCCATGTACTTTTTCAGGAGTCTCCGCGTAAATCTTTCTTTTGTTCATAATTTGCCCCAGTTTTATAGAATTTGAGTTCGGATTATGATTATGTTGTCATGTTGGTATTTTCTTGATTTTTAACCTGTATGTAAACAGACCTGTTGTCCCTTCAGGTCAGTAACATTGTTTTGTTGCATGAAAAGACTTGTAAGCTTAATACTCACAATTTATTTAAATTCCCTTTTGTAATAATATATTCACAAGCATGTGATGAAAATACTTTTATTCAAAGGATCAATTATGGCTTACTGTTGGCCATTACTGCCGTGTCCGGTCTTCGAATTTTTTCCATATTATTTTCAAAATATCAATCCAATTATTGAGTCACGATAAGCCATTGGAAAGGAACTGAAGGAAACAATATGAAAGGGCGATACGTAAGTTTCACATTTTGAGGTGCTCGCTAATTTTGATCTTATACACTCCCTCCGGATGAACACAGAATTGCCAAACACAACGCTTACTTTTGAAATACTGACAAAGCATACACAGGACATCCGCCATTCCTGATGTTGCCGTTAGTGCGAATTCAGATTGAGGCTTCCCGGTACATGGATCTGACGCTGAAATGAAAGTGTGTTATATTAGAAAGATACATTAAAGATAATGGGAAGACGTTTACTACATATTATCGGATAATGATGTGATTTTTACTGTATAAGACTTTGTGACATATAGGATGATAACATGCATTTTATAGCTTAACATAATTAAAAAACATTTCTTAAATCGATAATAATTGAATATTTAAAAGTGATTTCTGTAAAATTATTATCAGTACTGTCCTGTATAGACTGTATCATACATATGATGTACAAGTAAATTTCGTTCTATGTAAGTCTTACATGGTTCGTAGAAAGACATCATTGGTTTGTTTTGTTCTTGGAAAGAAGACGACCTTCTCATAGAATCGCATTTGTCTGGTGTAGGATTGACCAAGAATACAGGTTCTCTTTGCGGGTATACAGGTTCCATCCCCATGGGTACAGCGATAGGTCCATCTGGTCCGTCGACCCACATCACAGGGTAGTCCCATGGCAAGGGTGTAACGGGTACATAACCATATCGATGGTCCCAGATGTAATGGCGGCCATGTTGATCCACTGCAACCCTCTGCGACCTGACATAGGGTTGTGGTCTTTTCATGGGCTTGAGATGTTGGTTCGTCTTCCTGCGCTGTTCTTGTTCCACGAGTGCGTCTATCACTGTGTCCGGGTTCTGTTCGAATGTCATACTGATGTGTTTTCTGTATACTTCCACGTCATCTTGGGAACAATACGAAAATGTCGAACACGTTATGACATCAAAAACATTTTGAAATAGAAGAATTGCACGAAAGAGTAAACAACACATTCTTATGCATTTTAAGAAAGAAACATAAAAACCGAATAAAGAATTGAGATCCTCAAATGTTTGTTACAAATTGCAACTGATGTTGGAGGTCTCAAATCTGCCCGAAACTAACTCTGATGAAGATGTGACATATTCCTTTTATTCAACATATTTTTTGTAACTGTTCTATCTTGGGTCATTTATTTTTTTTTTTTGTAAATATTCTTATAACTTTTAGAGAAGAATTTCAAGATCACGGCTTACTTCAGAGACTGTTAGCCTCCATAAGAGAAAGTGAATTGTTTGCTCAAAACATTATGTGTAACTGAAAACACTGTAGATTACGGTATATTGCTGGGAAATCTCTTCATTTAATTGTTAGAGCAGCTCATTGTTAGTACCAATCATTATAAACAACAGAGCAATAGGTTTATTTTTGTGAAAGCAGGTTTTAATGAAACTTTTGCTATGTTTATATTAGTCAAATCTGGTATTCAAAGGTGTATGGCATCATAATCCTTGCCGTTTCTGTGACTAATTGGTAAACACGTGACATGAGGTCGGGACAAACTCGTGACAACATGACAGGGATGTGCTGACGTGCTATGTATATAAATGATTGCCATCTTGAGCTGATGTTGATGCCATACGTGATGAAATTCATGACTATACGTTTCAATTATCGAAATAAAGATAATCGTAGGTAAAGTTAACTTAACTACATATATAAGAATTAAAAAATCTAAATATCGCGATAAGATAAACAACTTACGTCTGATAGCCTTATCCTGTTCCTTGTCGCCAGTTGAGGATGTACTCTTCAGCAACAGACAAAACACAATTGCCATTACTATCGGAAGATTCATGGTTTTGGGGAATGACATATGCCTAATGAAGTGTATCATTTTCACATCCCGTCACTACGCACTTGTCAAACAGGCCGGGTAGTGTGTGCATCTCTCATATGTGTATATTGTGATTTTCTCTACCCGTCAAAACGATGTCCCATACCAGTCGTGGTTATCGCTTCCAGCCATAGATGTCGTGTTGAAAATGATTGATGACTTTTTTTATACATCCGAGTAATGGCTGAATGTGTGGAGGTCAGAATTACTCGTGACAGTCGTAATTCAACAAATATTGGATGTATATTTTTTTATCATTACTATGGATGGACTGCAGAAACAGTACCAGGTTTGCATACTTGTAATGAAGACTTGGTCTTCATCAAGTCTCGCAATTATTTATTTTAAGAAACCAATCTAAATTCCTATTGAATCATTCTGACTCTAAATTTTCCTTGTGGATTGCATTGTGCTTTTGATAACAGACATCCTTTAAAAAAACGTAATAGAATATCTTTATATACTAATATCGGATACTTTTCTTGTTTCAGCGAATCGAGAGACAGCGTTTGTCCATGCTATATATTCTGCAAGCATTATGTTTGATCTGACGTCACAATGTAACATAGGCGGGAATCCCGTGTGTGCATGTGACAATTCTCGAAATGGCGTCAAAGGTAATTATTTCACAAAGATTAATCCTTTCGAGTTAAATGAATGTCAGACTTAAAAAGGCTTTTATTGAAGTCTCTATTGTGTTATACTATTTGGTTGATATGGCTAAGCCTAGGTAATCATTGTAAAAAAGTCGGTTTCATATATCAAAGTATTCAGATAGTCTCTATGTGATCGCAGATTGACAGAACTGTCAATCATGTCGTATATAATAATATATTTCTTTATAATTGGTACATCAAAAAGATTGACAGAACTGTCAATCATGTCGTATATAATAATATATTTCTTTATAATTGGTACATCAAAAATGTATTGATTCTCACTCTGCACTTATAGTGAAGTACAGTTACAGCGTTTCATATAACATGTTGTATATAATAATATATTTCTTTATAATTGGTACATCAAAAATGTATTGATTCTCACTCTGCACTTATAGTGAAGTACAGTTACAGCGTTTCATATATCATTTAGAAAATAAAAGAGTTTGTCTATAATTTGTGACATAATCACTGAAAACAATTAAATATAGTTATGTTTCATATCTTTTATGAAATCTACTATAAACGTGAACTCGTGTCTGTGACTGACATCGATGATCAACTGATACATTCAAACTGTAGTAAACATGTAGGGACACGGCAAATCTCATTATTGCATTTCGGAATTTACGGGGCAAAACGTGTCGAAAGTCTATCATTATAGTATTAATGAAAAGCGAGATATCTGCGGTGTAATCCGCACTTAAGGATGGTATAGCCAATTAGTTGAATGCTTAACCTATTGCCTGGAGTCCTTAAACACTGATTGACATTGTATTCCTAAAAATGTTCATCCTATCGCGTTATTTATACTTGGGTGCCTCCGAGAGCGGCGGTCAAGTCTGTGATACTTTACCTCATACAATGGGCGGTGAATAAGCTTGTTTTATCGCTTTCCTTCTCCACGTCCAGATATACTTTATGAGCTTGTGATTTATCCGAATGTGTAAAGATTATTCAGTAGTCAAATAGATTTTAGCAATCCTCCGGTACACTTAATCATAAATACCTTAAAACGAAGGTAAGCACGGATCGTTTGATAACAGCCAATCGCAGTGTGTTGTTATGATTGATCAATTGATATGATGCAGCAGTTTCATCGCCCACATATTGACGTTTAAATAAACACTAACAATGTTGCATACAAAGCATATTTACAAGTCTTTGCAACAATTATTTTTCGCAAAAGAATTCTAGATAGCATATCACGATGCATTCATGAAGCTGTGAAATTATACGAAGTCTATCGTACTTTAGCTAAAATTTCATTACTGATAAACGATCATATTTTTTTTATCACAACGCATGTTTAAATTTGCTACTGATGTTTGTGTATTAAGTATATTCATCACCTGGTTAACGCCTTGATTTACAATTTCAAACAAACGTTTTCCCTAGTAATAACAAGTATTTGATATCTCTTAATCGCCGTATTGTTACATAACAGACATGTGATAATATAGAGTTGTGATGTATGCTCAGTAGTTTTAATGCTAACTGTATATCTCAGTGCCTTTTTGTATTTAGGTTTTATAAATTATATTGCTGTTATGCCTGGCAAGCACTTTTAGACTTATAAACATAATTATTTCTAAAATAACTTTAGATTCTCTTCACAATATTCGTGTTTGTCAATTGTTTTAAGTACCTGTAATGCTTATCAGATTTCGATAAAACAACATTTGCGCTTAACGAGGGAATGCATATATATGATATATAATATGTAAAATATGAAAGAACTATAAATTGACAATAAAACATGTAAGCCGATACTCTCGTGCATACTATGGCTTTTTGACCATTAAACATTGACCCATCATCAACATAATACGATTAAGTTTAGAACTTGATGTTATGATAATATAAGATGAAAATGAAAAAAATTCTCGAGATATGATTTCGAAACGAATTAGGCGGGAAATGACACTGTGGAGGTGACAGAAGGGTAACGCTATAATCTACCCCCAATAACCTGATGGAGACATAAAAATGCATGTAATATTCTAGTTAAGATGAAATTGTTTTGTCTCAATAGGTGGTCACGACTGGAGCTGGGGTGGATGTAGTGACAATATCAAATTTGGTGATTCCGTCTCAAAACACTTCCTCATCTCTATGCAGAAGGGTAAAGATTCGTCAGCAGCTGCAGTTATTCAGAATAATGGTGCTGGTCGAATGGTAAGTATAGAAAGGAAGTTTGAATAAGTTTAAATACATTAACTGTCCCATGTTCTGTTGCACATCATTCTATATTCTGATAATTCGTATTGGTGATAATGTTAAACATGTCAAAGTTCGTATTTATTTCTTTATCTGATAAATCAAAATCTTCAGTTGATGCAAATATTTGTCATAACATTTGCACTTCAAATGTCGTATATTTTCTATTCCTTCAGAGTGTCAGGAAAACAGCACACTTAATATGTAAATGTCATGGAGTATCCGGTGGCTGTTCTGTGCGGACCTGCTGGCGACAACTTGGTAGTTTTCGCGCGATTGGAACCTATCTGAAACGGAAGTACAAAAAGGCAGTACATGTTAATTTTTTCGATGGAAAATTACGAAAAGGCAATGATGTAAATGGTGTCAAGTTGAACATGATTTCTAGCAAACAACTTGTATTTTTGGAAAAGTCTCCAAATTACTGCAAAGCAAATCACAGCCTTTCTTTGAACGGAACATTAGGGAGGCAATGTTCCAGGAATAAAGTTGGTGTTAAACAAAGTGCGGCTGAGCGAAAGAGTTGTCGGACTTTGTGCAGGGCTTGTGGTTTACGCGTGAAGCATGAAGTAGTTACTATTAAGACAACGTGCAACTGTCGCTTCCATTGGTGCTGTTATGTGGCCTGCTTTGATTGTGAACAAAAACAGGACGTATATTCATGTAGCAAGTAATGTGTAAACTTGTATTCTGAAAGCTCCTTGTCACAAGATGGAAAACACGTGTATGACCTCACATCTTATACCGAAACACAAAGGTTGTGCAGATGTTATCCGTTCAAAATGAATCATTTTATATGCAGTAGTTGTGATGCTACCGAAGAATAGTATTGTGTATGATAGTTATGTTATTTATGTAAATGACTCTGATCAGAATCTCTTGAGTGCCATTATATAGAGTAATGTAAATAGTTATACGTTGTACCGCATATCAGTTTTCCAAGTCTTTACAAGGGTCACTAAATTCTCGAAATCCAAGTTCTGATTTTAAAAATTAAGAATTATGCAATATTTCCGTGATTTGTTAAACAAAAGTGCTTTAATGTCATTATTTATTTGATTGTCTGGTTCATTGTTATAAAACTCGACGCTTTACTTGATAGTCCATTTGTTAATTAGATATTAGCCAATGCTGATTTAATTTACAAAGTAACGGCTTTCGTTTTACATGTTAAAATGCATGTGTATTTTCATGTTGATATTGATTTTTTTACAGATCATTTAGTACATTTCTTCCCTAAGAATATGAGATAATATTTCTAATCTAACACATTATCCAAGTACGTAGATACTAAATGTAAGTTACTTACAGATTCTGCTGACTTTGTTTCTCGAAGAGACTTTTTCATATTTGTCGAACTTAAAATGTTTGTTTTAAGACATGTATAATGTAGAAATACTGTAATATAATTAATTGATTACCCTGGTGGTCCTTTATACCTCCAAAGACAAGAATATTTGACTTGTGTTGTTGATTCTGTATATGATGGCTAATAGTTTCATAGATTAATACCTTTAACATGAACACTAACTCCCGTTTTTTATGGTTAAGCTAGATCGGTTGTATTAACTGCAGTAGAAAACTGTATATACATTGTATATATGTCCAGTTGTTCGCGAATACTATAAAATCTTATTGTCGTTAGGCTCAAGGTGGTGTTTAAAAACATGTTGGCCGCTTGATTTCATGGATGAACAGCACAGAAAATCCACATAAACTAATTAATTGATTGGTTAATTGATTTGTAGACAAATAAATTCGTGGATTTAAGGTATCTACAAAATGAAAAAAATGTATATCTATAATAATTAATGTTCATTGTGTAAATCTATATATAATTCCATCTCCCTTTAGACATTGAAAAGCATGCGTTGAGATGCCACTTATAATACTGGCATAAAAGCGAACACTTAAAAATTGCAAACGATGAGACACTTTTGTTTCTGATTTTCGCTGGATTGATACCTTATAATGTAGAGGCCACAGTACTTAATTTCTAATCATCTAAATATTTATAACACTTTTTTGTACTTTCTATTTAAAAATGATTTGTTAACGCGTCTTATCTTTTCGTTTACGAAAATAATTATTTGAAATTTTTAGCATGCTAAATAAAATGGTGAAAGTCAGACTGATTCCAAAACATTTTAACGAATAGTATCATCAAAATATTTACATCATTAATAACGTAACATGCAAATTAGCGAACTACACCAAGGTCCATTGTGAGACTCTCTGAAAACTTGTTTATTGAGACGTGTTTTTGGTATAATTTTATAACGTTATCTTTATTAGTTGTTTAGTTATGTAAGAACTGGAAATGGCAATATTCAGGGAATGTTGTCTCCTTAAGTTACTATAATTTTCATCAAATCAGAATTCTAAAAAGGCTTCATGAGAGAATGATGATATCATAATCAATAAATTGAGTGTTTCTATTTTTAGACAGAATATTTTAATGGATGACGTCACTGCGACATTTATTTTTTTTTTCAATATTTTAATGTAACTTAATACAGAAATATGTCGGAAACACTATTCCTGAACATATTTGTGTATTATATTCATAAATGCTTGTTCCCTTACATAATTAACTACGAGTTTTCTTTAGTAATTGTATAACAGTATAAGAAGAGATAATACATGCCTGTGATAAAGATATTAGTAAAAATAAAGTAGAACATACACGTATATACTTGACTGTGTTTTATATTACCTACATTTTATACATGTCATCACTCCCAGACAGGTGGCGTTTTAAATCTTTCTGTGTGGGAGCCACTATCTGTACAGGGTTGTACAAACCTTCTCGCTTGTCACTTGATATCACTTCTAGCACACTCAAGACGACAGTTCACTTTAACAGCAATTGTCTTTCACCAATTCCAAATGTCTCCTGAAGAGTACTAAAGTCGATACCTTCAATACAGGTGGCATTACTCAGTGATCCTTTACCTACCTCTCGTTATTATGTCAGGCAATGCTTCTTGATCTTCCTGATTTCCAGTAAGGATGTTGGCTCATCATATTCACTAGACTTGCTATTTTTCGTTCTGTTACAATGTCATGTATCTTTGAAAAATGGAACCAAGTTGGTTTCTTAAACAGTAATTTTGTGATAAATGATATTTTTGGGTTTGACGTACTTCCTGTTATCAAATCAAATGGCATCTGACTTATTCAATAATGTGCCAAAGCACACAGGTGACCAGAAACTTTTAAGATGAATATGTAATTAGACATATTAAGCTGCAAAATACAGCCACGCCGTCTACTGATTCTTACAATATCTAGATATTTTACTGTTTGTGCTTGCGATCTTAGTTAAACGAATGTTAAGTACTGTTGAAAATGATGAACCAGTATCCTCAAACGCATATAGCAAATATGATTTGTTTTGTGCCCTATGTGTAAGAAAAGGATTCCATTCGTCCACAACGGTAGTAAACAAAACACACTTAAATCCTAGAACACACATTAAGTTATAACTCCATAGATTGGTTGATGCATCCATTTGACATGTTATCACTTTCCTTGTGTTTGGAATCATTCACTTTGTCCAAAGTATCTGATCCTTCTTGGATTTCCGCGTTGGAAAATGCTTGTATGGAATCTCTGTGCATGCTGCCGTTGTATTTGCTGATAACAGATTGTCTAGTCTCAGAGATGTTAAGACTTCTGCCGGAGTCACGTCTGTGGCTTCCATGCTTGGTAAATATGCTGCTGATAATGTCCTTAAGACCATTCCGGAAATTTTCGTTCATACCGCCGTACACCATGGGGTTGATGGCACTGTTTGCGTACAAAAGCGTTACTGCGGCGAAATACACAGGATTGTACCAGTCTGGTAGCTGGAACATCAAACACATCATTTTCACTTCACTGATCATCACTGCCTAATGCAATTCTAATATTATTTTTGCGGCTGATTTACAATTTTTACTCGATGATTGTTTAAAAGACACAGTTTATAGCACCTTTTAATATAAATTTAAAATAAGAGTTCTCTTGCTGTTTTGTAAGTCTTTGTTCTTATCTATGCTTGTCCTATTTTTCTCTGCTTATCACCATATCTCACGAAGGTTCCCCTGCTGTTTCGTGTTTTATATAATTTGTCTTGTCTTGATTACTGATTTCGTTTCTGTTTCATGTTCTGTAATTTCTATTGTCCTTGCCTATCCAAGTTGTCTCTACCTTGTCTAATTAACTAATACTTACCTTGCTGTTTCCCGTCTGATCCTCTACTTCTCTGTAGAGCTCGTACAATTTCGCCACTTGGAAAGGAATGGTGCAGAATATGAACGCTAGGAGGACTGCAAATAACATCTTCACAACCTGTCAACAGAAGAGTGTGTCAGTATGAATATATTCTATTTATGTTTTATTTTTTATCAAATGTTTCCTCACGTAATATATGATGTACGTGCAAACAAAAGCAAGAGCATGTTAGCTTGCTATCTTTTCCCAATTTCTCAATTCGTTTATGTGAAATTATGCAAATTTGACATATTTGACATCAAAAAGAATAAATATGTAAATCATTCATTTGAATGTTTTCTGCTAACCTTACTTCCTTGTTTCTGACTTTATATGACAGATTTGTTAATATCTCGGTGTCCTTTCATGTTTATATCTGGACAGATGTAGATATTACATATTACCTTTTTCTTAGACTTTTGTTGAACCGATGACATAGATATCGACCCAGTACTTGGCACTATTTTCTGTTTGCGGAGTCTTACGAAAAGGACACTGTATGTTATTGTCATTACGACCAATGGGATCCAGTTAAGAACAACAACGACACATGTCCAAAAGGCACGTCGAGACTGTCGCCCACTGTCACAGTCTCCGTCCGCCTCCTGCACAGCGGGCCACACGTCCGTACAGAATTTCTCCGTAAAGTCGCTCCATTTACGTTCGGTGTATGTATAGACGAAAAGCACAGGTATGCCGATGGAAATAGAGGATAACCACACAAATACCGCAACAATGCTGACTTTCCTTTGAGTTACTCTCGACTTCAATGGGAACATGATGGCAAAAAATCTGTCACATGCCAAGGCCATCAGTGTAAACACACTAGCACACATAGCAGTAACTGAAACAAAATCACAACTTTATAAGGCTCAGATGCCTGACTTGATGACGTTCATATTCATAGTGGTCTATGCTGCAGAAAGTCTGAACCTTAGTATTCATAATAGCATGAATGCGATAATTCTTTAATTTACTGTTTCAAATGAATAGAATTAAGTACAAACTAAAATGCGATGAAACGATGGCCGTTGCAATAGAATGGAATTATATTCAAACTCAAATGCGATGAAACGAATGCAAAATAAGAACAAAAGTAATATTTACGCGGAGATTCCTGAAAACGGGCAAGGGAAATAAGGTCATGTGTTCCGAAAAGGTGAGTGGCCTCTGAATCATCAACTACACCCGTCATATAAATCTTGGTCAATATACATTCAGGTGTTTTTAACGCGGTAGCGTGGTCATAGAAGGTCTGTACGGATTATTTATCCATCATAGAATATATATCAAATTTGGAATGTTAGTTAATACCGCAAGGCATCACTATGAGCTTAAACATTATCTGACAAATTTTTCAATTGTTGTTTTGATTCACAGTATTCAATTCGATTATCTTTTGGATTGCACTGTAACTAAAACTTGCGTGGTAAAGTTCTCGGCGACCTGGGTTCGATTTCTCAATAGGATGTGAAAAAAGGATGGCGTCAGATTTCAAAGTTGAAATATTCAAATAAGTTACGATTACACTTGTAACAATAACACAAAATGGATTGCAATTCCTGTTGAATACACCAAACTGAATACCTTTAATACTTTTATATAGATATGTAAACAAGGGAAATGCTAGCCTTTAATGTGCTTCAGGTGGTCTTATTTCTTCAAACATCAAACCATGGTGAAATGCTACTACGTATGTAGTTATAATGACAAGTCTCTAACCACCCTATACTGTACATATCGTCAATAATATATATGAATGTAAGTGTGTTGCAAACTGACCCCAACTTGACCATTGACCAATACTATAGTCAACTGTCATCATATACTCTGTCTCTTTTTATCTGATTTTTTGTTTACTAATTTCTTATCTTCATATCTCCTTATGTCATATCTTGCTTGTCTTTATGAGTCATATTCACGTTGTACGGGTAATTTCATTTCTTTGTTCTTCTTTTGGCGATTTAGTATATTAACCGCACGTCACCATTCAGTGGCAACAACAGTTAAATGTTGGCAGTGGCATGTGTATACCACGTGATATGTTTATTGTCCTAGATGGATGAAACATCTGTATGATGAAGTACTCTATCAAATTCTTAATTCTTATAAAAAAGGTGTAATTCCCTTGTATGTCTTTTAAACAATATTTGAGATTGCAAGTGATAGACATTGCTGATGGACGTTAAGTCCGCTGCATGCTACGCTCTAACATATAAGTGGCACGGTTCAGAATAAACGTATGTACTTGACTATGTATCATTAAAATCAAATAAAAAAATTACGAAATTCGTATGGATTATGTGGTAGAACACCTCATCTAGATTTTTTATATTTCTTTCAGTGAATTTTTTATTTTCCCTGTCGCTTCCTAAGTTTCCAGTTTGAAGCCCTTCACAACAATAACGACTCCTGGAAATATGAAACAGATGTTGGCGCAGTTGAATTCATTATATGGTGAAATTGTACGCTATTACAAATTCCTCTTTAACAGGTGATATTAACTTGTGTGCTTTTCGTACAACCTTATCATAACTATATACCGCAAATGCACTTGTTTTGACGCAGTCAAATTTCAGAGCATGATAGTATTAGCGTACTAATGAATTTGGGTACCCATAGTAATTGCTATATAAACAATATACAAAAAATGCTATTACCGCAATCATCTCTTAGCGAGATAAGATTAAGGCTTATATTGGTATATTTACGCTTACGTGATATCAACATCTAGAAAATTGTGTGGCATTTATGAGTACATTTACAAGTTCAAAGAGGAGAGTAAAAATGAAATGCTATTCTAATATTCGTGACTTACTTTGGACGAATGGGTTGAATTTACACATGAACCCGCCGACTGTCCATCCTTCAGTCACATCATCAACCAGATGCATCCATATTGAGAACGAGGCGACAAACAGGTCGGACACGGCCATGTTAACTATGTAGTAGTTAGTCACTGTCCTCATCTTCTTATTCTGCCAAACGATCAGAATGATAAGTAAGTTTCCTACAATGGCTATCAACTCCATGCTTGCCACAATGGTCACTTTAACACCTATTTCCCAGCTAGGGAATGTTTTACGTTCTCCTGGGAACTTTATCATGCTGACATCCACATATGGATGGTCTCCATCACACTGGTCTGCCATCCTTGAAGGTTGCAATGCTTGCAATGCCGGCTGCTTCTAGAACACGCTAGTGTCTGTAGATGTGAGTAATATAGGTGGCTTAAAATACATTAATTCCTGTGTCAAGTGAATGGATTACATCTTGTTATGAACGAAACTCACTTGAAATATCTATTTCTGAGTGAAACTGCTTCCAAAATGGATCTGTGTAATAAAATAGCTTTGCGCTTGGTACACATCCTGTCTGGTAATGAAGTTTCATGGCCTTTGATGTTTATTTCTGTGTTGTTTTCGGACGGTACCTGGTTCTGCCGGTAAAATACCTCTTACTGGCCTAGCCAGTGTGTACGAATCACTTTGGGGTGGTCATGAAATGGTAAAACGCTATGATAGTCTATTGAAGGAGCACACCGTCCGATCACTTGACCAAGCGTATATTGGAATAACCAGTATCGGTCTTGTTTGACTACAGTTTCTTGTACATGTCCATAACGCATTTTACCTGACCGGGTCATAAAAAACACTTTTAAATAACTGTATTTCAATCATAAGTTATTGATCATCGGATTTTACGAGCAGATAATATGGTGATACATATTTATTGCGCCATAAATATTGGCCGTGTGAGAACTAGACGGGTTGTAAATGACCAATTGACGAATTCTACAAACAAAGCTGTGATTTATCACCGACTGGAGTAGACAGCTGACCTTGTTTGACTGTTGCCTCCGGATCCTTCACGGCAGGGCTGCTGATGCTGATTAATGTCATACCTAAGGTTTTAAGTGACATCAGAGGACATTATTATATAACGGAAATATTGACTGATATGTTGATATTGAACAGGAGTTCATGTTGAGGGTCATCCTCTCAGGACAAGGGGGATATTTGGTATAAGTGTCGTGATATCGAACGAGGTAGTCGGTAATCGTGGTGCATCACTACCTGTTGCTCTTACTATTTATAAATACTTGGTTATCTGTAGTACACAGCGACCATCTTATGGTTTGATACATAAGGCTTCATTTGAAATTGATTATTTATTGAAAGATTATCGATTTGAGATAAAATAATTCGTCATTTCTTGAAGAGTGCGTGTAATTTAGTGCAAATTCCACTTATGTGTCTTTTATACAACCTTCGAGATTGCGTGTGGTAGACATAGATAGTGTAGTTTTCGTCTTGCTGTAACTGGCATGCCATATTTTAATTCATTTGAATAGCGGAATGGTTCAGAATACATACACATGTTTGTCATTGTTTTTAAATTCAATATTGGAAATTAGGAAATTTATTGAACTTTGAATGTGCTCAACTTTACCTTCTGGTTTTTCACTAATTTGGATTTTCCTCGATCGTCTCCTCGGTTTCAACAATTTAAGCCCTTAGCATCACTGACGAGTGCCAGAAGGAGGAAGCATCTGTACATCTGTATGACTCGGTTCAATTAATGATTTGGTTCTACTTTATCGAATTCTAAATTTGTATTTGTGTTTAGTTGCACAAACTGATTATGGTCAATCGTATTGGTCAATATAAAGACGGGAAGGTAATAATTGCCAACATATTAAAAGGGAAAAAAATGCACTTGGAATTGTCATTAGTAACATATCCGAAACAGTATACATTAAGAAACACGACACAAGTCCTTAAATCTAGTGAACTGGGGTATCTGAATGCACAGTCGCTTATACATATAATTCGCTATAAAGAAAAACCAAATATTGTATGTTAATTTAGGATTGTAGTGTGTTTTCATTGTGTTAACGGTAGTATGAGCATATTAGGATAATACCTGAATAATACGATTTCGCCTTGTATATTGGTAAGGATAGTGTTTTGTTGGTTGGTTGGTGACAGGTTTTCTGTCTCCGTGTCACCGACGAATGTTTAAGTCCTGGCGACGAAAGAGGGCGACCTGCATCCCCCTCAGAGAGGCACAACCGCCTGTCGCAGTGTGTACATTATGCTAGTTTGAGAAGAGATTCTGGTGCTTAATAATGCCTTATCCTAACTCTAACAGCCTGCAACATATCCAGAATTGGACAGGAAGGATTAGGGACAAGCATAGATTTGGTTTTAGGCTACAGTTATTTTGAAATCTATCAAATGCGTGTGATTCATCATCTTGTCAACATTTTCAGCTAAACTTCATTTTATCAATTTACGATTGAAAAATAATCACCATCATTATTTTTGTAATGACTTATAAAAAAATTTGAAATGATTCCCAAATACAGACATCAATGATCTCGTGATTGACTGGGTTTCAAGTCGGCAGTTAAAACACTTTCTTGCTGACATTCTAAACGAAACGTATCGGAGCCAATGAAAATGGTTGGTTCTGTATTGGTAGAAAAATATTACTTGACACGTGTTGTAGTAAAGTACATAGATGGTTTAGCCAGTGTTGTATATTTTCCAGCGTTTGTTTAGACAGTCATTGAAACATTCAGCAATGAGAGGACTGAATGAACCTGTTTCCAAAATAAACAGCTGTTAACTTTTCCTTCTAGGTATTTTTTTTAGTTTCCTCCAGCGTTGTATGATCTTACAAAAAATAAGTAATACATCTTGGTTAAGGTTGTCTTTACCTTGAGTACATATTGCAGGACGTTATACACCAGTTTTCCTCTACGGTGTTCCATAGTTAGTAATAGTACTGGGACGTGTTAGGTTGTACAGCTTCAAATAGTCTCAATAGATATAACGAGTTCACTACATTGCCGAATCATCTGCCGGGACATCTTCCGAGACATTGGTCTGAAAAGTGAGTAACATATTTATGTTACCATGCTTATGTTATAAAGTGAAGGTTGAGGACCGAACCGTCTAAGTTACACAGTCCGTAACAAACACATCGGGCTTTTGTTATGTTAATCATGCTGGCTTGCTTCTTTCAATATCAATCTATTTGAAACTAAACCACTTGATGTCGCCATGACTAATATGCTTTCTCTAGGAACTTGAATCTTACAAAATATTTTTGTTCAAGAAAAGAAATCTCGCGCGACTCCCAGGAAGAACACGGAGAACAATGATGGCGACACGATGTCGCAGAAAACTAAGTAATGGGTATTTTCTATTTTGTGTCCGATTAACACCACGGAAAAGGAGATTCAGGAGGTTCGCTGATGTGTTTGTATGATATATACTTACAGAGTAGACCACTACAAATGCGATTTGCTTTATCAAAGTTTCTTACCACCATTTTTAGTTCAAATTCAAGTTCTTTATTAACCTTGAGTCTATCAACTTATTGGTTTAGTACGATCAAGTCTACCCGAGAATTGGGAGTAATGGTATTGTATAAGTAACGTCGTCGTTTTCTTGTCATGAGAGCCTCCTTTTCAAGGGAAGGTGAAAAATACGTCAGAAGAGATTTACTTCCGACAAGCTTTTCTTGTTGACTCTGTCTAGATTGACTTGGTTGGAGTCACCAAAAAAACATTCAAAACAGGTCGCAAAAACCTCTCTCAAATTCCTTCCATTTCACTTTTAAATGTATTGATGATGTATGAAATAATATGTACCTGTTAATGAGTGGTATTTTCAAAAACTTAAAAGCGGATGCTATTGACGTGTCTCCCTAACAATAAAAATATACCTTAGACTGCTTAGCTATTTCTATATGAGCAAAATATCACAACAAATCCCGCTTCGATGCCGAATTCAACAGTTCGGTCTAATTTGCGAAGGGCTCACAATTATTTATGACCATGACAGCCACCATACAAATATTGTTATACAAATGTCGAGTATTCCCGAGCTTCGCAGAGTACTTGTCACGGTCAGATTGTATTCATAAGCCAGTGATATTGTAGCTAAAATATAGCACCAAGCTTTCGTGGCCTTCTAGGTCCGCCACGCGTATCTAACTTCTGCGAATATAGCGAGCCCTTTAAAATAAAATAAAATAAAATAAAACGGGAATAACATATGGCCACCTTAATTGAAAAACAAGGCCACGACAGACTCTTCTTCGTCAGCCGCTTACTCTTTCAACGAACCTAACACCTTCCCACCAAATGTATAATGAGCGTAATGATACAGACTTCACTTTTGTGAATTTTCCTTTCCTAGATATCAACCTCCCTGCTTATTCAACCTGTGGTGTTTGATTACAGAAGCTGATTCGGCATTCCAAGGCTTGTTCCCTCGATAGCCGACGCATAAACTCACAAAACACAAAATTTGGAGCGATGCATGTTGATGAAAATTATGGGGAAGCTATATGGTCGTCATAATGACACTATTGATGAAAGTCGCTCAACTGTCCGAAACCAATACTTTCTCATGGGCCTTTGTGTATCTTTTTAAAGTTTGAAGACGGAATTGAGATTCTGTTGACGTGTTGACGTGTCCGTATTTCCGTTGATGTTTAATTATGAACACGCTCACTGAAGAGAAAACATTTAATGAATATCTTTAATTCATCAATTACCTGCTCACTTCTTAAAAGATAAGCGTTATCATTGCCCAGTTATATTTTTCTGAAGCAATGTCTGTGTTCCTGTTGATCATGCTCTAGAGAGAACATGTAAAGGGAGATAACTCGAACATCTTTAGCCGATAAATAAAAATACCCCCTATGATGGATAATTGTATCGTTATAGTAAAGACTTTGTGTCCTGATTCAGTGGTAAGACTTGCAAAGCCGTAAACCCTATTTGATTGGTACATTTTAATGGTATATAGTAGGCTGTTTGGTATGAATTATAAACGACTGCAAAAGTATTGTATAATTACAGTTATAATAGAAAGAGAATTATACAAAAAATCCAAAAATCGTGAACGATACGTACCACTTAATAGCGCTGAAAAGTTGAGAATAACTCACAAGGAGCGCCTATAAGCACGTAACAGGAAATATTCACTTCCCCCCTTATGACCCAATCCTCTATCCTTATGGTAGCCTCGGCAACTTCCAAGTACCTACAACAATTGTTAAGAGGGAAAAACTTTTAAAAACTTTTGAAGTAGTTACTCGTTATGCACAAAAGTTCAAAAGAACTTCGCGA